ATAAAAATATTGGATGTCTAAGGTTAGAGGTATAAGCAAAGACAATCAAAATAAGAATATTGCAAATTAATGACACTTTTAGAGTGTAATAAATGGAGAATAGGTTTTGTCTCCAAATATCTAAAATCAAAACAATTGTACGTCCAATTAAACATTCTGACTTTAAAGTTTTAAATTTCATAAATACATTGGTGTAAAAAAGGAAATTTAAAATATGCCCACTTTTTACACCACCCTTAATGTTTATTATCTAGAACTGTTTAAAATTTGTTTTCATATTATTTTTTACATTTTTTTTTTAAACAGAGCTCTAGATAATAAAAATATCAGATGTCTAAGGTTAGACACATCAACACAAGCCATGAGTTTGGTTGAAGACAAATTTATCAGTTGCAATAATTGTTCTTTATTTCTCCCCACTCATCATCATAAGTGTTCTCCCTCTCCCACTCTGACCATTCTACAACTTTCTCTCTCTCCCACTGACCATATACAATTATGAAATTTCAGTCATATATTTTCATTGCCAAGAATATTTTGTCTCTGAAGTGTTCATTGTTTAACTATGCTGATGATCTGTTAAGCTTGTTATAAGTTCATCAGTTGAGTCAGTTAGAGACCTAACCTCTGAGATGGTGATGAAGCAGCTGTTATGTGGTCTGTTTTTACCCTTTACTCTATGAGTTAATCTTTCTCTTTCCTTATTCTATGTGGTCTGTTTTTACCCTTTACTCTACGAGTTAACTCTTTCTCTTTTCTTATTCTAGGTGGTCTGTTTTTCTTATGTATTATTACCTTTCAGATGTTTCCAAGTTCATCAGTTCAAAGTTCATCAGTTCAACTGTTCCTCCTCACTACAAACAACAATTTAATTAGTTAATTTAATTGGATAACAAAAATTTCAAAAGAATATGGGACTAGCACTTGAATTTTGAACAAAAAGGTTTTACAGCAATAATGGAGAGCAGTTCAGTACTATTCTGAAAACTATGTCACTACCATAGAAATATTTTCCCCGATTTAGGTCCCAAGCAGGCTTAGATTAAAAATTCTCAAAACAGCGTAGTTTTGTTCTAATTTCAGATATGAATACAAAAAAGTGAGGTATACGGACAAAAACTAAAAATAACCAAAATACATCGACTATTATTTCATTCTTTTGACGTCTAATAATCTTTTCATAAAATTTTCCTATTTGGTCTCTTTATTAAAAAATACAGTTGATACCTCCAGTTGGAGTCATGTTACCATTATTGCACATATAATGTTCAAGTTGACCATAGGGGGCATCTTGACATTGTTATTAAGTATAAACATTTCAGTTCATAGGTGAATACTCTACAGCAACTGTAATGATGAAGAACAACAATAAAAGTAGTTACTTTAATCAACTGGTTATTTCCAGTACATCATGTTCATAAGTTGACCGAGTGAAACAGTTTTTAAGCAGCTCTGTCACATTGCCAACCGAGAAAGATATATTTGTAAAACTTCCACATCATTTGGTCTCTGGTGGAGAGTTGTCTCATCGGCAATCAAACCACATCTTCTTTTTATTAGAACATTGTGACATCAGATGGACAGATATTTAATTCGTTAAGGAAGTAAGAGTACCAACCTTGTATGAGGTGAGATCCTGCTCCTATGTTTTACTCCCATCAAATAATTCTGCTGGTATGATACTTGTAGCACGATTTGTCGTACATCTGAAACACAGAAAATATGTCTTAGTATTTTGGATCATCTGCATGAACAATATTTATTTATACTTTAAATTATACCTTTAAGAATTTTACAGTATTCTGAAAACATTGAGAATACCCTTACAATATTAGAAACAACTTGAGCTTATTATTTGGTCCAATACATCTCACATTTACCCCAGTAGTACTTTTTTATCAATCCGATCAAATTTGCAAAACAGAATGACAGAATTACAAGAAACTACTAGGTATTTTGAAAATGGACTTTTTTTGTTTTGAATATTATTATTAATCCGATCAAATTTGTAAAACAGATTGACACAATTTCAAGAAATTACTAGGTATTTTGAAAATATTTTTGTTTTGTTTTGAATATTAAAAGCATATGCTGGCTTCTATTAAGAGTGCTGTACAATGGTTCCAATTCCATATTAATTCAGGTGATTGTATGCATCACAATCAACCCACCAGATTCCTTAAGGTAAACACTTACCATTAATTTATCAGAATATTCTTCATAAGTCTTAATATCAATATTGTGATGGATCCTTGATATGAGATGTCCAGCATAAATTTTAAGAATTTCTCCTTTCAGGTTGAACATTGAAATCTGGAATATAAAAATAATTCATATTTATGAATTGGCAGTCACATACTTCACATGAAATAATCATTTAAATTAAAACTATTTAATTAAGATTTTTGTATGGTTTTTTTTTAAATTTTATAAGAAGAAGATAATCAAACTAATTGATTTCATTTGGTCACTGCTATATAGATTTCTCCATTGTCAATCCTACCACATCATCTTAATGTCATAGCTAATATGACATTATTGTTAAATACATTTTTTTTCTTTTCTATCAATATATCTATGGCTGTTATTACCCTCCATCAGTGTTATTCAATAAATGATTGTAAGAAGATTCTCATTTTGCAAAGAATTCTCTCAGTTGTATGCTTGGTACAGTTGTTACTTTTAAGCTTTTTTCAAGTGCTCACTTGTATTTTTCTTTCACAATTTGATAAATTATTTCCCCTTGTTAGCATTCAATTATTATTTTTTTACTTTGTAAAAAGTTCTGGCTGATTTTACAAATAACCAACAAATCAAAATAACATGCTGCCTTACAATAGATTCTAATGAAATATTAAGCTATTATTTTCATAGGCATTTTCAATGTTTTCAACTGAGGAAATATCAATGTCTTCATCTAAGGAAATTTATTGTCAAAAAGTATTTATTGGCAGTTTTGATATAACTTTTCTTTTCGATACTAAGTATCTATATCAAGTCATACAAATTTCATAATTCTTCATGTTCAACAATAAAAAAGAAAACCAGAAAAAAATTACAAAACATTATCAAAAATATATTAGCCATGAAAAATTTACCTTCCATAAATTTAAATATTCAAGAAGCATCATAAATCAGGAACAAGAAAATCATAAAATAAATACACACTAACAGGTTTGGCCATTAAAATTCAAAATTTAAATTCTGTGCAAATAATACACTTTTTACAGACTTGAAACTATATCAATACCTTGTGTTTTTCTTGAGAAAATGTCAGAATATGTAATGAACTGGAAATCTAATCAACTATGTGTTCTGGATAATTTCATTGCAAAAGGAAACTCTGTCTGTCTTCTGAACACTTCATTGCAACTTAGGAACATCTGTTTGTGCTATAGAACATCTGTCTTCACTATAGAACATTATGTAGGAATACGTCTTCACTATAAGACATTATGTAGGAACATGTCTTCACTATAAGACATTATGTAGGAACATGTCTTCACTATAGAACAATATGTAGGAATATGTCTTCACTATACAACATTATGTATGAACCTGTCTTCACTATACAACATTATGTATGAACCTGTCTTCACTATACAACATTATGTAGGAACATGTCTTCACTATAGAACATTATGTAGGAACATGTCTTCACTATAGAACATTATGTAGGAACATGTCTTCACTATAGAACATTATGTAGGAACATGTCTTCACTATAGAACATTATGAAGGAACATGTTTTCACTATAGAACATCTGTCTTCATTAATGTTATTATACAAGTCCATAATTTTATTTTAATAGCTATTTAACTTTTAGCTTGAGTGTGCCAGTTGTCGGACTGTACATAATCCACCAATCTCATAGAAAACCTTTTAGTATTTCTGTCTTTTGTCTCTTTAGATATCATTGAAAACTTTTGTTGGATCTTTCTTGATATAAAAAAGTCAGTTTCTACACAGAGCTATATTTTATTGTCCTCAATTGCCATGACAATCATTGAAGACTGAATATAGACTTCTCAAATAAACACAGTTCTAAAGTTTCACAATTTTCCAAGACTTCACAATACACATTTTTACAAATTATACAGTGCACTAATCATAATAATAAACAAAATTTTAAATATGCCTACTTTTTACAACATCCTCAATGTTTATTATCTAGAACTCTGTTTACAAACGATTTTGTTTTCATATTTTTTGGTATTTTCTTTTTTTATTTTTTTTTTCATATTTTTTACAGAGCTCTAAATAATAAAAATATCAGATTTTAAAGGTTAGAGGCAAAGTCATTCTAAATCAGAATATTGCAAAATTTTAATGTTGGATGATTTTCTCATTGTTGAAGTCCATACAGTAACCTATTTTACATCAACATCATTTGGTCTCTGTAGGATAGTAATGTCTCGCATCTCTTCATTTCATAACAAATCAATTTGTAGGTTTTATAAAAATGGGCTGATGATGAAGGTACGGGAAATTTTGACTGCCAACTGAGAGGAGCTAGGATATGTTTGGCAGAAATTAAGCCTTGCAACAGGCCACCTACTGACCCCTCAAAGACTTGTGGCAAGGGTTTTCTTTAACGTGCAGAGTGGCACTGCATGTCCCTACACATAGGAACTATATACTTTTTAAATTGCCATTCCAATTTTTGTTTGTTTTAAAAATGATAACTTTAGAAGACTTTAAGGCAGGGGTCATAAAAAATATTACAATAATCCCACCTTTTACACCACCCTCAATGTTTATTATCTAGAACTCTGTTTACAAACAATTTTGTTTTCATATTATTTTTTGGTATTATCATTTTTTATATATTTTTTTAACAGAGCTCTAGATAATAAAAATATCAGATGTTAAAGGTTAGAGTTATTAACAAAGTCATTCTAATTCAGAATATTGCAAAATTTTAATGTTAGTTGATTTTCTCATTGTTGAAGTCCATACAGTAACATGCAACTTCATTTGGTCTCTCTGTAGGATAGTTGTCTCGCATCTCTTCTTTTCATAACAAATCAATTTGTAGGTTCTATAAAGTGGGCCCATGACGAAGGTAAGGGAAATTTTGACTGCCAACTGAGAGGAGGATATGTTGGACAGAAATTAAGCCTTGCAACAGGCCACCTACTGACCAGGCCTCAAAGACTTGTGGCAAGGGTTCTTTAACGCGCAGAGTGGCACTGTCCCTACACATAGGAACTATATACTTTTTAAATTGCCATTCCAATTTTTGTTTGTTTTAAAAATGATAACTTTAGAAGACTTTAAGGCAGGGGTCATAAAAAATATTACAATAATCCCACCTTTTACACCACCCTCAATGTTTATTATCTAGAACTCTGTTTACAAACGATTTTGTTTTCATATATTATTTTTTGGTATTTTCATTTTTTATATTTTTTTTGATATTTTTTTTTACAGAGCTCTAGATAATAAAAATATCAGATGTTAAAGGTTAGAGGTATTCACCAATTCATTCTAATTCAGAATATTGCAAAATTTTAATTTGTTGATTTTCTCATTGTTGAAGTCCATACAGTAACATGCAACTTCATTTGGTCTCTGTAGGATAGTTGTCTCACATCTCTTCATTTCATAACAAATCAATTTGTAGGTTCTATAAAGTGAACCTATGATGAAGGTAAGGGAAATTTTGACTGCCAACTGAGAGGAGGATATGTTGGACAGAAATTAAGCCTTGCAACAGGCCACCTACTGACCCCTCAAAGACTTGTGGCAAGGGTTCTTTAACGTGCAGAGTGGCACTGTCCCTACACATAGGAATTATACTTTTTAAATTGCCATTCCAATTTTTGTTGGTTTTAAAAATGATAACTTTAGAAGACTTTAAAGCGGGGGTCATAAAAAATATTACAATAATCCCACCTTTTACACCACCCTAAATGTTTATTATCTAGAACTCTGTTTACAAACAATTTTGTTTTCATATAATTTTTGGGTATTTTCATTTTATATATTTTTTTTTTATATTTTTTTACAGAGCTCTAGATAATAAAAATATTGGATATTAAAGGTTAGAGGTATTAACAAAGTCATTCTAATTCAGAATATTGCAAAATTTTAATGTTGGAGGATTTTCTCATTGTTGAAGTCCATACAGTAACATGCAACTTCATTTGGTCTCTGTAGGATAGTTGTATCGCATCTCTTCATTTCATAACAAATCAATTTGTAGGTTCTATAAAGTGGGCTGATGACAAAGGTAAGGGAAATTTTGACTGCCAACTGAGAGGAGGATATGTTGGGACAGAAATTAAGCCTTGCAACAAGCCACCTACTGACCCCTCAAAGACTTGTGGCAAGGGTTCTTTAACGTGCAGAGTGGCACTGTCCCTACATAGGAACTATATACTTTTTAAATTGCCATTCCAATTTTTGTTTGTTTTAAAAATGATAACTTTAGAAGACTTTAAGGCGGGGGTCATAAAAAATATTACAATAATCCCACCTTTTACACCACCCTCAATGTTTATTATCTAGAACTCTGTTTACAAACAATTTTGTTATCATATTATTTTTTGGTATTTTCATTTTTTATATTTTTTTTTGTATATTTTTTTACAGAGCTCTAGATAATAAAACTATCGGATGTTAAAGGTAAGAGGTATTAACAAAGTCATTCTAATTCAGAATATTGCAAAATTTTAATGTTGGATGATTTTCTCATTGTTGAAGTCCATACAGTAACCTATTTTACATCAACATCATTTGGTCTCTGTAGGATAGTAATCTCGCATCTCTTCATTTCATAACAAATCAATTTGTAGGTTCTATAAAGTGGGCCTATGATGAAGGTAAGGGAAATTTTGACTGCCAACTGAGAGGAGGATATGTTGGACAGAAATTAAGCCTTGCAACAGGCCACCTACTGACCAGGCCTCAAAGACTTGTGACAAGGGTTCTTTAATGTGCAGAGTGGCACTGTCCCTACACATAGAAACTATATACTTTTTTAATTGCCATTCCAATACTTGTTTGTTTTAAAAATGATAACTTTAGAAGACTTTAAGGCAGGGGTCATAAAAAATATTACTATAATCCCACCTTTTACACCACCCTCAATGTTTATTATCTAGAACTCTGTTTACAAACGATTTTGTTTTCATATATCATTTTTTGGTATTTATTTTTATATATTTTTGATATTTTTTTTTACAGAGCTCTAGATAATAAAAATATCAGATGTTAAAGGTTAGAGGTATTAACAAAGTCATACTTATTCAGAATATTGCAAAATTTTAATGTTAGTTGATTTTCTCATTGTTGAAGTCCATACAGTAACATGCAACTTCATTTGGTCTCTGTAGGATAGTTGTCTCGCATCTCTTCATTTCATAACAAATCAATTTGTAGGTTCTTATTATTATTATAAAGTGAACCTATGATGAAGGTAAGGGAAATTTTGACTGCCAACTGAGAGGAGGATATGTTGGACAGAAATTAAGCCTTGCAACAGGCCACCTACTGACCAGGCCTCAAAGACTTGTGGCAAGGGTTCTTTAACGTGCAGAGTGGCACTGTCCCTACACATAGGAACTATATACTTTTTAAATTGCCATTCCAATTTTTGTTTGTTTTAAAAATGATAACTTTAGAAGACTTTAAGGCGGGGGTCATAAAAAATATTACAATAATCCCACCTTTTACACCACCCTCAATGTTTATTATCTAGAACTCTGTTTACAAACAATTTTGTTTTCATATTATTTTTTGGTATTTTCATTTTTGATATTTTTTTTGTATATATTTTTTGGTATTTTCATTTTTTATATTTTTTTTTTATATTTTTTTACAGAGCTCTAGATAATAACAATATCGGGTGATAAAGGTTAGAGGTATTAACTAAGTCATTCTAATTCAGAATATTGCAAAATTTTAATGTTGGATGATTTTCTCATTGTTGAAGTCCATACAGTAACCTATTTTACATCAACATCATTTGGTCTCTGTAGGATAGTAATGTGTCGCATCTCTTCATTTCATAACAAATTAATTTGTAGGTTCTATAAAGTGAGCCGATGATGAAGGTAAGGGAAATTTTGACTGCCAACTGAGAGGAGGATATGTTGGACAGAAATTAAGCCTAGCAACAGGCCACCTACTGACCCCTCAAAGACTTGTGGCAAGGGTTTTTTAATGTGCAGAGTGGCACTGTCCCTACACATAGAAACTATACTTTTTAAATTGCCATTCCAATTTTTGTTTGTTTTAAACATAACTTTAGAAGATTTTAATTGATTGTTGTTGATTGTTGGTTGCTCAACGTCCAGTGGCAAATATTTCATACATATTCAGGACGAGAACAAGTTAACAATAAATACAATAGGTAGGTTCTGTAATAGGGGCTTCCTGGATTAAGGTCGGAGAAATTTAGACTGCAACGGACGCCCCACTTTAGCAAGGGTTTTACTGCCGGTCGGAGGAAGACCAATGGTGACCATACTTCTATTCCCCAGTCACCCTTGGGGGTTAAAAGACTTTAAGGTGGGGGTCATAAAAAATGTTACAATAATCCCACCTTTTACACCACCCTCAATGTTTATTATCTAGAACTCTGTTTACAAACGATTTTGTTTTCATATATTATTTTTTGGTATTTTCATTTTTGATATTTTTTTTGATATTTTTTTTTACAGAGCTCTAGATAATAAAAATATCAGATGTTAAAGGTTAGAGGTATTAACAAAGTCATTCTAATTCAGAATATTGCAAAATTTTAATGTTAGTTGATTTTCTCATTGTTGAAGTCCATACAGTAACATGCAACTTCATTTGATCTCTGTAGGATAGTTGTCTCACATCTCTTCATTTCATAACAAATCAATTTGTAGGTTCTTATTATTATTATAAAGTGAACCTATGATGAAGGTAAGGGAAATTTTGACTGCCAACTGAGGAGGATATGTTGGACAGAAATTAAGCCTTGCAACAGGTCAACTACTGACCCCTCAAAGACTTGTGGCAAGGGTTCTTTAACGTGCAGAGTGGCACTGTCCCTACACACAGGAACTATATACTTTTTAAATTGCCATTCCAATTTTTGTTTGTTTTAAAAATGATAACTTTAGATGATTTTAAGGCGGGGGTCATAAAAAATATTACAAGAATCCCACCTTTTACACCACCCTCAATGTTTATTATAAAGAACTCTGTTTACAAATGATTTTGTTTTCATATATTATTTTTTGGTATTTTCTTTTTTGATATTTTTTTTGATATTTTTTTTTACAGAGCTCTAGATAATAAAAATATCAGATGTTAAAGGTTAGAGGTATTAACAAAGTCATTCTAATTCAGAATATTGCAAAATTTTAATGTTGGATGATTTACTCATTGTTGAAGTCCATACAGTAACCTATTTTACATCAACATCATTTGGTCTCTGTAGGATAGTAATGTCTCGCATCTCTTCATTTCATAACAAATCAATTTGTAGGTTCTATAAAGTGGGCCGATGATGAAGGTAAGGGAAATTTTGACTGCCAACTGAGAGGAGGATATGTTGGACAGAAATTAAGCCTTGCAACAGGCCACCTACTGACCCCTATAAGACTTGTGGCAAGGGTTTTTTAATGTGCAGAGTGGCACTGTCCCTACACATAGAAACTATACTTTTTAAATTGCCATTCCAATTTTTGTTTGTTTTAAACATGATAACTTTTGAAGATTTTAATTGATTGTTGTTGATTGTTGGTTGCTTAACATCCAGTGGCAAATATTTCATACATATTCAGGACGAGAACAAGTTAACAATAAATACAATAGGTAGGTTCTGTAATAGGGGCTTCCTGGATTAAGGTCAGAGAAATTTAGACTGCAACGGACGCCCCACTTAAGCAAGGGTTTTACTGCCGGTCGGAGGAAGACCAATGGTGACCATACTTCTATTCCCCAGTCACCCTTGGGGGTTAGAAGACTTTAAGGCGGGGGTCATAAAAAATGTTACAATAATCCCACCTTTTACACCACCCTCAATGTTTATTATCTAGAACTCTGTTTACAAACGATTTTGTTTTCATATATTATTTTTTGGTATTTTCATTTTTTATATTTTTTTTTATATTTTTTTTTACAGAGCTCTAGATAATAAAAATATCAGATGTTAAAGGTTAGAGGTATTCACCAATTCATTCTAATTCAGAATATTGCAAAATTTTAATTTGTTGATTTTCTCATTGTTGAAGTCCATACAGTCACCTATTTTACATCAACTTCATTTGGTCTCTGTAGGATAGTTGTCTCACATCTCTTCATTTCATAACAAATCAATTTGTAGGTTCTTATTATTATTATAAAGTGAACCTATGATGAAGGTAAGGGAAATTTTGACTGCCAACTGAGGAGGATATGTTGGACAGAAATTAAGCCTTGCAACATGTCAACTACTGACCCCTCAAAGACTTGTGGCAAGGGTTCTTTAACGTGCAGAGTGGCACTGTCCCTACACATAGGAACTATGTACTTTTTAAATTGCCATTCCAATTTTTGTTGGTTTTAAAAATGATAACTTTAGAAGACTTTAAGGCGGGGGTCATAAAAAATATTACAATAATCCCACCTTTTACACCACCCTCAATGTTTATTATCTAGAACTCTGTTTACAAACGATTTTGTTTTCATATATTATTTTTTGGTATTTTCATTTTTTATATTTTTTTTGATATTTTTTTTTAACAAAGCTCTAGATAATAAAAATATCAGATGTTAAAGGTTAGAGGTATTAACAAAGTCATTCTAATTCAGAATATTGCAAAATTTTAATGTTGGTTGATTTTTTCATTGTTGAAGTCCATACAGTAACCTATTTTACATCAACATCATTTGGTCTCTGTAGGAAAGTAATGTCTCACATCTCTTCTTTTCATAACAAATCAATTTGTAGGTTCAATAAAGTGGGCCTATGATGAAGGTAAAGGAAATTTTAACTGCCAACTGAGAAGAGGATATGTTGGACAGAAATTAAGCCTTGCAACAGGCCACCTACTGACCCCTCAAAGACTTGTGGCAAGGGTTCTTTAACGTGCAGAGTGGCACTGTCCCTACACATAGGAACTATGTACTTTTTAAATTGCCATTCCAATTTTTGTTGGTTTTAAAAATGATAACTTTAGAAGACTTTAAGGCGGGGGTCATAAAAAATATTACAATAATCCCACCTTTTACACCACCCTCAATGTTTATTATCTAGAACTCTGTTTACAAACAATTTTGTTTTCATATTATTTTTTGGTATTTTCATTTTCTATATTTTTTTTGTATATATTTTTTGGTATTTTCATTTTTTATATTTTTTCAGAGCTCTAGATAAAAACAATATCGGATGATAAAGGTTAGAGGTATTAACAAAGTCATTCTAATTCAGAATATTGCAAAATTTTAATGTTGGATGATTTACTCATTGTTGAAGTCCATACAGTAACCTATTTTACATCAACATCATTTGGTCTCTGTAGGATAGTAATGTCTCGCATCTCTTCATTTCATAACAAATCAATTTGTAGGTTCTATAAAGTGGGCCGATGATGAAGGTAAGGGAAATTTTGACTGCCAACTGAGAGGAGGATATGTTGGACAGAAATTAAGCCTTGCAACAGGTCACCTACTGACCCCTCAAAGACTTGTGGCAAGGGTTCTTTAACGTGCAGAGTGGCACTGTCCCTAAACATAGGAACTATATACTTTTTAAATTGCCATTCCAATTTTTGTTGGTTTTAAAATGATAACTTTAGAAGACTTTAAGGCGGGGGTCATAAAAAATATTACAATAATCCCACCTTTTACACCACCCTCAATGTTTATTATCTAGAACTCTGTTTACAAACAATTTTGTTTTCATATTATTTTTTGGTATTTTCATTTTTTATATTTTTTTTGTATATATTTTTTGGTATTTTCATTTTTTATAATTTTTTTTTATATTTTTTTACAGAGCTCTAGATAATAACAATATCGGATGATAAAGGTTAGAGGTATTAACAAAGTCATTCTAATTCAGAATATTGCAAAATTTTAATGTTGGATGATTTACTCATTGTTGAAGTCCATACAGTAACCTATTTTACATCAACATCATTTGGTCTCTGTAGGATAGTAATGTCTCGCATCTCTTCATTTCATAACAAATCAATTTGTAGGTTCTATAAAGTGGGCCGATGATGAAGGTAAGGGAAATTTTGACTGCCAACTGAGAGGAGGATATGTTGGACAGAAATTAAGCCTTGCAACAGGCCACCTACTGACCAGGCCTCAAAGACTTGTGGCAAGGGTTCTTTAACGTGCAGAGTGGCACTGTCCCTACACATAGAAACTATACTTTTTAAATTGCCATTCCAATTTTTGTTTGTTTTAAACATGATAACTTTAGAAGATTTTAATTGATTGTTGTTGATTGTTGGTTGCTTAACATCCAGTGGCAAATATTTCATACATATTCAGGACGAGAACAAGTTAACAATAAATACAATAGGTAGGTTCTGTAATAGGGGCTTCCTGGATTAAGGTCGTAGAAATTTAGACTGCAACGGACGCCCCACTTTAGCAAGGGTTTTACTGCCGGTCGGAGGAAGACCAATGCTGACCATACTTCTATTCCCCAGTCACCCTTGGGGGTTAGAAGACTTTAAGGCGGGGGTCATAAAAAATGTTACAATAATCCCACCTTTTACACCACCCTCAATGTTTATTATCTAGAACTCTGTTTACAAACGATTTTGTTTTCATATATTATTTTTTGGTATTTTCATTTTTTATATTTTTTTCGATATTTTTTTTTACAGAGCTCTAGATAATAAAAATATCAGATTTTAAAGGTTAGAGGTATTAACAAAGTCATTCTAATTCAGAATATTGCAAAATTTTAATGTTAGTTGATTTTCTCATTGTTGAAGTCCATACAGTAAAGTGCAACTTCATTTGGTCTCTGTAGGATAGTTGTCTCACATCTCTTCATTTCATAACAAATCAATTTGTAGGTTCTTATTATTATTATAAAGTGAACCTATGATGAAGGTAAGGGAAATTTTGACTGCCAACTGAGAGGAGGATATGTTGGACAGAAATTAAGCCTTGCAACAGGTCACCTACTGACCCCTCAAAGACTTGTGGCAAGGGTTCTTTAACGTGCAGAGTGGCACTGTCCCTACACATAGGAACTATATACTTTTTAAATTGCCATTCCAATTTTTGTTGGTTTTAAAAATGATAACTTTAGAAGACTTTAAGGCGGGGGTCATAAAAAATATTACAATAATCCCACCTTTTACACCACCCTCAATGTTTATTATCTAGAACTCTGTTTACAAACAATTTTGTTTTCATATTATTTTTTGGTATTTTCATTTTTTATATTTTTTTTGTATATATTTTTTGGTATTTTCATTTTTTATATTTTTTTTTTTATATTTTTTTACAGAGCTCTAGATAATAACAATATCGGATGATAAAGGTTAGAGGTATTAACAAAGTCATACTAATTCAGAATATTGCAAAATTTTAATGTTGGATGATTTACTCATTGTTGAAGTCCATACAGTAACCTATTTTACATCAACATCATTTGGTCTCTGTAGGATAGTAATGTCTCGCATCTCTTCATTTCATAACAAATCAATTTGTAGGTTCTATAAAGTGGGCCGATGATGAAGGTAAGGGAAATTTTGACTGCCAACTGAGAGGAGGATATGTTGGACAGAAATTAAGCCTTGCAACAGGCCACCTACTGACCCCTCAAAGACTTGTGGCAAGGGTTTTTTAATGTGCAACGTGGCACTGTCCCTACACATAGAAACTATACTTTTTAAATTGCCATTCCAATTTTTGTTTGTTTTAAACATGATAACTTTAGAAGATTTTAATTGATTGTTGTTGATTGTTGGTTGCTTAACGTCCAGTGGCAAATATTTCATACATATTCAGGACGAGAACAAGTTAACAATAAATACAATAGGTAGGTTCTGTAATAGGGGCTTCCTGGATTAAGGTCGGAGAAATTTAGACTGCAACGGACGCCCCACTTTAGCAAGGGTTTTACTGCCGGTCGGAGGAAGACCAATGGTGACCATACTTCTATTCCCCAGTCACCCTTGGGGGTTAGAAGACTTTAAGGCGGGGGTCATAAAAAATGTTACAATAATCCCACCTTTTACACCACCCTCAATGTTTATTATCTAGAACTCTGTTTACAAACGATTTTGTTTTCATATATTATTTTTTGGTATTTTCATTTTTTATATTTTTTTTGATATTTTTTTTTACAGAGCTCTAGATAATAAAAATATCAGATTTTAAAGGTTAGAGGTATTAACAAAGTCATTCTAATTCAGAATATTGCAAAATTTTAATGTTAGTTGATTTTCTCATTGTTGAAGTCCATACAGTAAAGTGCAACTTCATTTGGTCTCTGTAGGATAGTTGTCTCACATCTCTTCATTTCATAACAAATCAATTTGTAGGTTCTTATTATTATTATAAAGTGAACCTATGATGAAGGTAAGGGAAATTTTGACTGCCAACTGAGAGGAGGATATGTTGGACAGAAATTAAGCCTTGCAACAGGCCACCTACTGACCCCTCAAAGACTTGTGGCAAGGGTTCTTTAACGTGCAGAGTGGCACTGTCCCTACACATAGGAACTATACTTTTTAAATTGCCATTCCAATTTTTGTTGGTTTTAAAAATGATAACTTTAGAAGACTTTAAGGCGGGGGTCATAAAAAATATTACAATAATCCCACCTTTTACACCACCCTCAATGTTTATTATCTAGAACTCTGTTTACAAACAATTTTGTTTTCATATTATTTTTTGGTATTTTCATTTTTTATATTTTTTTTGTATATATTTTTTGGTATTTTCATTTTTTATATTTTTTTTTTTATATTTTTTTACAGAGCTCTAGATAATAACAATATCGGATGATAAAGGTTAGAGGTATTAACAAAGTCATTCTAATTCAGAATATTGCAAAATTTTAATGTTGGATGATTTACTCATTGTTGAAGTCCATACAGTAACCTATTTTACATCAACATCATTTGGTCTCTGTAGGATAGTAATGTCTCGCATCTCTTCATTTCATAACAAATCAATTTGTAGGTTCTATAAAGTGGGCCGATGATGAAGGTAAGGGAAATTTTGACTGCCAACTGAGAGGAGGATATGTTGGACAGAAATTAAGCCTTGCAACAGGCCACCTACTGACCCCTCAAAGACTTGTGGCAAGGGTTTTTTAATGTGCAGAGTGGCACTGTCCCTACACATAGAAACTATACTTTTTAAATTGCCATTCCAATTTTTGTTTGTTTTAAACATGATAACTAATAGGTAGGTTCTGTAATAGGGGCTTCCTGGATTAAGGTCGGAGAAATTTAGACTGCAACGGACGCCCCACTTTAGCAAGGGTTTTACTGCCGGTCGGAGGAAGACCAATGGTGACCATACTTCTATTCCCCAGTCACCCTTGGGGGTTAGAAGACTTTAAGGCGGGGGTCATAAAAAATGTTACAATAATCCCACCTTTTACACCACCCTCAATGTTTATTATCTAGAACTCTGTTTACAAACGATTTTGTTTTCATATATTATTTTTTGGTATTTTCATTTTTTATATTTTTTTTGATATTTTTTTTTACAGAGCTCTAGATAATAAAAATATCAGATGTTAAAGGTTAGAGGTATAAACAAAGTCATTCTAATTCAGAATATTGCAAAATTTTAATGTTAGTGGATTTTCTCATTGTTGAAGTTCATACAGTAAAGTGCAACTTCATTTGGTCTCTGTAGGATAGTTGTCTCGCATCTCTTCATTTCATAACAAATCAATTTGTAGGTTCTATAAAGTGGGCCGATGATGAAGGTAAGGGAAATTTTGACTGCCAACTGAGAGGAGGATATGTTGGACAGAAATTAGGCCTTGCAACAGGCCACCTACTGACCCCTCAAAGACTTGTGGCAAGGGTTCTTTAACGTGCAGAGTGGCACTGTCCCTACACATAGGAACTATATACTTTTTAAATTGCCATTCCAATTTTTGTTGGTTTTAAAAAAAATTCGTAAGGGTTCCGCGGAACCCAGTGTCTCGCCTACTTTTTCTGTTAATTGCAGGCTCAACAAAAATGAGGAAGTAAATCAATAAAAATATTCCTCTTGATACTATCTTTTGATTGTAAGAAGTTTCTGTCCAAGTTTGGTAAAAATCCAGGATAGTTTATGAATCTAATAAATGTTTAAAAACTTTATCTGCAGACTGAATGTAATGTTAACTTGAAGAAAACAAAATTTCCTTCTAGATACTAGCATTTGATCATAAACAAGCTTCTGTTAAAGTTTGGTGCAAATCCAAAATAGTATAAGAAAGTTATTATAGTGAATGTGTTGTTTCCTGGCAGAAAATCTAAGTCCATTTAAAAGTAAAATACGGAAAAAATGGATTTATTATTTTACAAAATTTCCTTCTGGATACTATCTTATGATCATAAACAAGCTTCTGTCCAAGTTTGGTAGAAACCCAGGATAGTTTAAGAAAGTTATTAAAATTTTAAAAACTTTAACCACAGAGTGAATGTGTTGTTTCCTGGCAGAAAATCTAAGTCCATTTAAAAGTAAAATACGGAAAAAATGGATTTATTATTTTACAAAATTTCCTTCTGGATACTATCTTATGATCATAAACAAGCTTCTGTCCAAGTTTGGTAGAAACCCAGGATAGTTTAAGAAAGTTATTAAAATTTTAAAAACTTTAACCACAGAGTGAATGTAATATTTCCCGGCAGAAAAACTAAGTCCATTTATAAGTAAAATACGGAAAAAATGGAATTTTATTTTTACAAAATTTACTTCTGGATACTATCTTATGATCATAAACAAGCTTCTGTCCAAGTTTGGTAGAAATCCAAGGTAGTTTAAGAAAGTTATTAAAATTTCAAAAACTTTAACCACAGAGTGAATATTTGTGGACGCCGCCGACGACGCCGACGGAATGTAGGATCGCTATGTCTCGCTTTTTCGACTAAAGTCGAAGGCTCGACAATGATAACTTTAGAAGACTTTAAGGCGGGGGTCATAAAAAATATTACAATAATCCCACCTTTTACACCACCCTCAATGTTTATTATCTAGAACTCTGTTTACAAACGATTTTGTTTTCATATATTATTTTTTGGTATTTTCATTTTTTATATTTTTTTTGATATTTTTTTTTACAGAGCGGATGATAAAGGTTAGAGGTATTAACAAAGTCATTCTAATTCAGAATATTGCAAAATTTTAATGTTGGATGATTTACTCATTGTTGAAGTCCTATTTTATAGTAACCTATTTTACATCAACATCATTTGGTCTCTGTAGGATAGTAATGTCTCGCATCTCTTCATTTCATAACAAATCAATTTGTAGGTTCTATAAAGTGGGCCGATGATGAAGGTAAGGGAAATTTTGACTGCCAACTGAGAGGAGGATATGTTGGACAGAAATTAAGCCTTGCAACAGGCCACCTACTGACCCCTCAAAGACTTGTGGCAAGGGTTTTTTAATGTGCAGAGTGGCACTGTCCCTACACATAGAAACTATACTTTTTAAATTGCCATTCCAATTTTTGTTTGTTTTAAACATGATAACTTTAGAAGATTTTAATTGATTGTTGTTGATTGTTGGTTGCTTAACATCCAGTGGCAAATATTTCATACATATGCAGGACGAGAACAAGTTAACAATAAATACAATAGGTAGGTTCTGTAATAGGGGCTTCCTGGATTAAGGTCGGAGAAATTTAGACTGCAACGGACGCCCCACTTTAGCAAGGGTTTTACTGCCGGTCGGAGGAAGACCAATGGTGACCATACTTCTATTCCCCAGTCACCCTTGGGGGTTAGAAGACTTTAAGGCGGGGGTCATAAAAAACGTTACAATAATCCCACCTTTTACACCACCCTTAATGTTTGTTATCTAGAACTCTGTTTACAAACGATTTTGTTTTCATATATTATTTTTTGGTATTTTCATTTTTTCTATTTTTTTTGATATTTTTTTTTACAGAGCTCTAGATAATAAAAATATCAGATGTTAAAGGTTAGAGGTATTAACAAAGTCATTCTAATTCAGAATATTGCAAAATTTTAATGTTAGTTGATTTTCTCATTGTTGAAGTCCATACAGTAACATGCAACTTCATTTGGTCTCTGTAGGATAGTTGTCTCACATCTCTTCATTTCATAACAAATCAATTTGTAGGTTCTTATTATTATTATAAAGTGAACCTATGATGAAGGTAAGGGAAATTTTGACTGCCAACTGAGGAGGATATGTTGGACAGAAATTAAGCCTTGCAACATGTCAACTACTGACCCCTCAAAGACTTGTGGCAAGGGTTCTTTAACGTGCAGAGTGGCACTGTCCCTACACATAGGAACTATGTACTTTTTAAATTGCCATTCCAATTTTTGTTGGTTTTAAAAATGATAACTTTAGAAGACTTTAAGGCGGGGGTCATAAAAAATATTACAATAATCCCACCTTTTACACCACCCTCAATGTTTATTATCTAGAACTCTGTTTACAAACAATTTTGTTTTCATATTATTTTTTGGTATTTTCATTTTTTATATTTTTTTTGTATATATTTTTTGGTATTTTCATTTTTTATAATTTTTTTTTATATTTTTTTACAGAGCTCTAGATAATAACAATATCGGATGATAAAGGTTAGAGGTATTAACAAAGTCATTCTAATTCAGAATATTGCAAAATTTTAATGTTGGATGATTTACTCATTGTTGAAGTCCATACAGTAACCTATTTTACATCAACATCATTTGGTCTCTGTAGGATAGTAATGTCTCGCATCTCTTCATTTCATAACAAATCAATTTGTAGGTTCTATAAAGTGGGCCGATGATGAAGGTAAGGGAAATTTTGACTGCCAACTGAGAGGAGGATATGTTGGACAGAAATTAAGCCTTGCAACAGGCCACCTACTGACCAGGCCTCAAAGACTTGTGGCAAGGGTTCTTTAACGTGCAGAGTGGCACTGTCCCTACACATAGAAACTATACTTTTTAAATTGCCATTCCAATTTTTGTTTGTTTTAAACATGATAACTTTAGAAGATTTTAATTGATTGTTGTTGATTGTTGGTTGCTTAACATCCAGTGGCAAATATTTCATACATATTCAGGACGAGAACAAGTTAACAATAAATACAATAGGTAGGTTCTGTAATAGGGGCTTCCTGGATTAAGGTCGTAGAAATTTAGACTGCAACGGACGCCCCACTTTAGCAAGGGTTTTACTGCCGGTCGGAGGAAGACCAATGGTGACCATACTTCTATTCCCCAGTCACCCTTGGGGGTTAGAAGACTTTAAGGCGGGGGTCATAAAAAATGTTACAATAATCCCACCTTTTACACCACCCTCAATGTTTATTATCTAGAACTCTGTTTACAAACGATTTTGTTTTCATATATTATTTTTTGGTATTTTCATTTTTTATATTTTTTTTGATATTTTTTTTTACAGAGCTCTAGATAATAAAAATATCAGATTTTAAAGGTTAGAGGTATTAACAAAGTCATTCTAATTCAGAATATTGCAAAATTTTAATGTTAGTTGATTTTCTCATTGTTGAAGTCCATACAGTAAAGTGCAACTTCATTTGGTCTCTGTAGGATAGTTGTCTCACATCTCTTCATTTCATAACAAATCAATTTGTAGGTTCTTATTATTATTATAAAGTGAACCTATGATGAAGGTAAGGGAAATTTTGACTGCCAACTGAGAGGAGGATATGTTGGACAGAAATTAAGCCTTGCAACAGGTCACCTACTGACCCCTCAAAGACTTGTGGCAAGGGTTCTTTAACGTGCAGAGTGGCACTGTCCCTACACATAGGAACTATATACTTTTTAAATTGCCATTCCAATTTTTGTTGGTTTTAAAAATGATAACTTTAGAAGACTTTAAGGCGGGGGTCATAAAAAATATTACAATAATCCCACCTTTTACACCACCCTCAATGTTTATTATCTAGAACTCTGTTTACAAACAATTTTGTTTTCATATTATTTTTTGGTATTTTCATTTTTTATATTTTTTTTGTATATATTTTTTGGTATTTTCATTTTTTATATTTTTTTTTTTATATTTTTTTACAGAGCTCTAGATAATAACAATATCGGATGATAAAGGTTAGAGGTATTAACAAAGTCATTCTAATTCAGAATATTGCAAAATTTTAATGTTGGATGATTTACTCATTGTTGAAGTCCATACAGTAACCTATTTTACATCAACATCATTTGGTCTCTGTAGGATAGTAATGTCTCGCATCTCTTCATTTCATAACAAATCAATTTGTAGGTTCTATAAAGTGGGCCGATGATGAAGGTAAGGGAAATTTTGACTGCCAACTGAGAGGAGGATATGTTGGACAGAAATTAAGCCTTGCAACAGGCCACCTACTGACCCCTCAAAGACTTGTGGCAAGGGTTTTTTAATGTGCAGAGTGGCACTGTCCCTACACATAGAAACTATACTTTTTAAATTGCCATTCCAATTTTTGTTTGTTTTAAACATGATAACTTTAGAAGATTTTAATTGATTGTTGTTGATTGTTGGTTGCTTAACGTCCAGTGGCAAATATTTCATACATATTCAGGACGAGAACAAGTTAACAATAAATACAATAGGTAGGTTCTGTAATAGGGGCTTCCTGGATTAAGGTCGGAGAAATTTAGACTGCAACGGACGCCCCACTTTAGCAAGGGTTTTACTGCCGGTCGGAGGAAGACCAATGGTGACCATACTTCTATTCCCCAGTCACCCTTGGGGGTTAGAAGACTTTAAGGCGGGGGTCATAAAAAATGTTACAATAATCCCACCTTTTACACCACCCTCAATGTTTATTATCTAGAACTCTGTTTACAAACGATTTTGTTTTCATATATTATTTTTTGGTATTTTCATTTTTTATATTTTTTTTGATATTTTTTTTTACAGAGCTCTAGATAATAAAAATATCAGATGTTTAAGTTTAGAGGTATAAACAAAGTCATTCTAATTCAGAATATTGCAAAATTTTAATGTTAGTGGATTTTCTCATTGTTGAAGTTCATACAGTAAAGTGCAACTTCATTTGGTCTCTGTAGGATAGTTGTCTCGCATCTCTTCATTTCATAACAAATCAATTTGTAGGTTCTATAAAGTGGGCCGATGATGAAGGTAAGGGAAATTTTGACTGCCAACTGAGAGGAGGATATGTTGGACAGAAATTAAGCCTTGCAACAGGCCACCTACTGACCCCTCAAAGACTTGTGGCAAGGGTTCTTTAACGTGCAGAGTGGCACTGTCCCTACACATAGGAACTATATACTTTTTAAATTGCCATTCCAATTTTTGTTGGTTTTAAAAATGATAACTTTAGAAGACTTTAAGGCGGGGGTCATAAAAAATATTACAATAATCCCACCTTTTACACCACCCTCAATGTTTATTATCTAGAACTCTGTTTACAAACAATTTTGTTTTCATATTATTTTTTGGTATTTTCATTTTTTATATTTTTTTTGTATATATTTTTTGGTATTTTCATTTTTTATATTTTTTTTTTATATTTTTTTACAGAGCTCTAGATAATAACAATATCGGATGATAAAGGTTAGAGGTATTAACAAAGTCATTCTAATTCAGAATATTGCAAAATTTTAATGTTGGATGATTTACTCATTGTTGAAGTCCATACAGTAACCTATTTTACATCAACATCATTTGGTCTCTGTAGGATAGTAATGTCTCGCATCTCTTCATTTCATAACAAATCAATTTGTAGGTTCTATAAAGTGGGCCGATGATGAAGGTAAGGGAAATTTTGACTGCCAACTGAGAGGAGGATATGTTGGACAGAAATTAAGCCTTGCAACAGGCCACCTACTGACCCCTCAAAGACTTGTGGCAAGGGTTTTTTAATGTGCAGAGTGGCACTGTCCCTACACATAGAAACTATACTTTTTAAATTGCCATTCCAATTTTTGTTTGTTTTAAACATGATAACTTTAGAAGATTTTAATTGATTGTTGTTGATTGTTGGTTGCTTAACATGCAGTGGCAAATATTTCATACATATTCAGGACGAGAACAAGTTAACAATAAATACAATAGGTAGGTTCTGTAATAGGGGCTTCCTGGATTAAGGTCGGAGAAATTTAGACTGCAACGGACGCCCCACTTTAGCAAGGGTTTTACTGCCGGTCGGAGGAAGACCAATGGTGACCATACTTCTATTCCCCAGTCACCCTTGGGGGTTAGAAGACTTTAAGGCGGGGGTCATAAAAAACGTTACAATAATCCCACCTTTTACACCACCCTCAATGTTTATTATCTAGAACTCTGTTTACAAACGATTTTGTTTTCATATATTATTTTTTGGTATTTTCATTTTTTATATTTTTTTTGATATTTTTTTTTACAGAGCTCTAGATAATAAAAATATCAGATGTTAAAGTTTAGAGGTATAAACAAAGTCATTCTAATTCAGAATATTGCAAAATTTTAATGTTAGTGGATTTTCTCATTGTTGAAGTTCATACAGTAAAGTGCAACTTCATTTGGTCTCTGTAGGATAGTTGTCTCGCATCTCTTCATTTCATAACAAATCAATTTGTAGGTTCTATAAAGTGGGCCGATGATGAAGGTAAGGGAAATTTTGACTGCCAACTGAGAGGAGGATATGTTGGACAGAAATTAAGCCTTGCAACAGGCCACCTACTGACCCCTCAAAGACTTGTGGCAAGGGTTCTTTAACGTGCAGAGTGGCACTGTCCCTACACATAGGAACTATATACTTTTTAAATTGCCATTCCAATTTTTGTTGGTTTTAAAAATGATAACTTTAGAAGACTTTAAGGCGGGGGTCATAAAAAATATTACAATAATCCCACCTTTTACACCACCCTCAATGTTTATTATCTAGAACTCTGTTTACAAACAATTTTGTTTTCATATTATTTTTTGGTATTTTCATTTTTTATATTTTTTTTGTATATATTTTTTGGTATTTTCATTTTTTATATTTTTTTTTTATATTTTTTTACAGAGCTCTAGATAATAACAATATCGGATGATAAAGGTTAGAGGTATTAACAAAGTCATTCTAATTCAGAATATTGCAAAATTTTAATGTTGGATGATTTACTCATTGTTGAAGTCCATACAGTAACCTATTTTACATCAACATCATTTGGTCTCTGTAGGATAGTAATGTCTCGCATCTCTTCATTTCATAACAAATCAATTTGTAGGTTCTATAAAGTGGGCCGATGATGAAGGTAAGGGAAATTTTGACTGCCAACTGAGAGGAGGATATGTTGGACAGAAATTAAGCCTTGCAACAGGCCACCTACTGACCCCTCAAAGACTTGTGGCAAGGGTTTTTTAATGTGCAGAGTGGCACTGTCCCTACACATAGAAACTATACTTTTTAAATTGCCATTCCAATTTTTGTTTGTTTTAAACATGATAACTTTAGAAGATTTTAATTGATTGTTGTTGATTGTTGGTTGCTTAACATGCAGTGGCAAATATTTCATACATATTCAGGACGAGAACAAGTTAACAATAAATACAATAGGTAGGTTCTGTAATAGGGGCTTCCTGGATTAAGGTCGGAGAAATTTAGACTGCAACGGACGCCCCACTTTAGCAAGGGTTTTACTGCCGGTCGGAGGAAGACCAATGGTGACCATACTTCTATTCCCCAGTCACCCTTGGGGGTTAGAAGACTTTAAGGCGGGGGTCATAAAAAACGTTACAATAATCCCACCTTTTACACCACCCTTAATGTTTATTATCTAGAACTCTGTTTACAAACGATTTTGTTTTCATATATTATTTTTTGGTATTTTCATTTTTTATATTTTTTTTGATATTTTTTTTTACAGAGCTCTAGATAATAAAAATATCAGATGTTAAAGGTTAGAGGTATTAACAAAGTCATTCTAATTCAGAATATTGCAAAATTTTAATGTTAGTTGATTTTCTCATTGTTGAAGTCCATACAGTAACATGCAACTTCATTTGGTCTCTGTAGGATAGTTGTCTCACATCTCTTCATTTCATAACAAATCAATTTGTAGGTTCTTATTATTATTATAAAGTGAACCCATGATGAAGGTAAGGGAAATTTTGACTGCCAACTGAGAGGAGGATATGTTGGACAGAAATTAAGCCTTGCAACAGGTCACCTACTGACCCCTCAAAGACTTGTGGCAAGGGTTCTTTAACGTGCAGAGTGGCACTGTCCCTACACATAGGAACTATATACTTTTTAAATTGCCATTCCAATTTTTGTTGGTTTTAAAAATGATAACTTTAGAAGACTTTAAGGCGGGGGTCATAAAAAATATTACAATAATCCCACCTTTTACACCACCCTCAATGTTTATTATCTAGAACTCTGTTTACAAACAATTTTGTTTTCATATTATTTTTTGGTATTTTCATTTTTTATATTTTTTTTGTATATATTTTTTGGTATTTTCATTTTTTATAATTTTTTTTTATATTTTTTTACAGAGCTCTAGATAATAACAATATCGGATGATAAAGGTTAGAGGTATTAACAAAGTCATTCTAATTCAGAATATTGCAAAATTTTAATGTTGGATGATTTACTCATTGTTGAAGTCCATACAGTAACCTATTTTACATCAACATCATTTGGTCTCTGTAGGATAGTAATGTCTCGCATCTCTTCATTTCATAACAAATCAATTTGTAGGTTCTATAAAGTGGGCCGATGATGAAGGTAAGGGAAATTTTGACTGCCAACTGAGAGGAGGATATGTTGGACAGAAATTAAGCCTTGCAACAGGCCACCTACTGACCAGGCCTCAAAGACTTGTGGCAAGGGTTCTTTAACGTGCAGAGTGGCACTGTCCCTACACATAGAAACTATACTTTTTAAATTGCCATTCCAATTTTTGTTTGTTTTAAACATGATAACTTTAGAAGATTTTAATTGATTGTTGTTGATTGTTGGTTGCTTAACATCCAGTGGCAAATATTTCATACATATTCAGGACGAGAACAAGTTAACAATAAATACAATAGGTAGGTTCTGTAATAGGGGCTTCCTGGATTAAGGTCGTAGAAATTTAGACTGCAACGGACGCCCCACTTTAGCAAGGGTTTTACTGCCGGTCGGAGGAAGACCAATGGTGACCATACTTCTATTCCCCAGTCACCCTTGGGGGTTAGAAGACTTTAAGGCGGGGGTCATAAAAAATGTTACAATAATCCCACCTTTTACACCACCCTCAATGTTTATTATCTAGAACTCTGTTTACAAACGATTTTGTTTTCATATATTATTTTTTGGTATTTTCATTTTTTATATTTTTTTTGATATTTTTTTTTACAGAGCTCTAGATAATAAAAATATCAGATTTTAAAGGTTAGAGGTATTAACAAAGTCATTCTAATTCAGAATATTGCAAAATTTTAATGTTAGTTGATTTTCTCATTGTTGAAGTCCATACAGTAAAGTGCAACTTCATTTGGTCTCTGTAGGATAGTTGTCTCACATCTCTTCATTTCATAACAAATCAATTTGTAGGTTCTATAAAGTGGGCCGATGATGAAGGTAAGGGAAATTTTGACTGCCAACTGAGAGGAGGATATGGTGGACAGAAATTAAGCCTTGCAACATGTCAACTACTGACCCCTCAAAGACTTGTGGCAAGGGTTCTTTAACGTGCAGAGTGGCACTGTCCCTACACATAGGAACTATGTACTTTTTATTTAAATTGCCATTCCAATTTTTGTTGGTTTTAAAAATGATAACTTTAGAAGACTTTAAGGCGGGGGTCATAAAAAATATTACAATAATCCCACCTTTTACACCACCCTCAATGTTTATTATCTAGAACTCTGTTTACAAACAATTTTGTTTTCATATTATTTTTTGGTATTTTCATTTTTTATATTTTTTTTGTATATATTTTTTGGTATTTTCATTTTTTATAATTTTTTTTTATATTTTTTTACAGAGCTCTAGATAATAACAATATCGGATGATAAAGGTTAGAGGTATTAACAAAGTCATTCTAATTCAGAATATTGCAAAATTTTAATGTTGGATGATTTACTCATTGTTGAAGTCCATACAGTAACCTATTTTACATCAACATCATTTGGTCTCTGTAGGATAGTTGTCTCACATCTCTTCATTTCATAACAAATCAATTTGTAGGTTCTTATTATTATTATAAAGTGAACCCATGATGAAGGTAAGGGAAATTTTGACTGCCAACTGAGAGGAGGATATGTTGGACAGAAATTAAGCCTTGCAACAGGTCACCTACTGACCCCTCAAAGACTTGTGGCAAGGGTTCTTTAACGTGCAGAGTGGCACTGTCCCTACACATAGGAACTATATACTTTTTAAATTGCCATTCCAATTTTTGTTGGTTTTAAAAATGATAACTTTAGAAGACTTTAAGGCGGGGGTCATAAAAAATATTACAATAATCCCACCTTTTACACCACCCTCAATGTTTATTATCTAGAACTCTGTTTACAAACAATTTTGTTTTCATATTATTTTTTGGTATTTTCATTTTTTATATTTTTTTTGTATATATTTTTTGGTATTTTCATTTTTTATAATTTTTTTTTATATTTTTTTACAGAGCTCTAGATAATAACAATATCGGATGATAAAGGTTAGAGGTATTAACAAAGTCATTCTAATTCAGAATATTGCAAAATTTTAATGTTGGATGATTTACTCATTGTTGAAGTCCATACAGTAACCTATTTTACATCAACATCATTTGGTCTCTGTAGGATAGTAATGTCTCGCATCTCTTCTTTTCATAACAAATCAATTTGTAGGTTCTATAAAGTGGGCCGATGATGAAGGTAAGGGAAATTTTGACTGCCAACTGAGAGGAGGATATGTTGGACAGAAATTAAGCCTTGCAACAGGCCACCTACTGACCCCTCAAAGACTTGTGGCAAGGGTTTTTTAATGTGCAGAGTGGCACTGTCCCTACACATAGAAACTATACTTTTTTAAATTGCCATTCCAATTTTTGTTTGTTTTAAACATGATAACTTTAGAAGATTTTAATTGATTGTTGTTGATTGTTGGTTGCTTAACATCCAGTGGCAAATATTTCATACATATTCAGGACGAGAACAAGTTAACAATAAATACAATAGGTAGGTTCTGTAATAGGGGCTTCCTGGATTAAGGTCGGAGAAATTTAGACTGCAACGGACGCCCCACTTTAGCAAGGGTTTTACTGCCGGTCGGAGGAAGACCAATGGTGACCATACTTCTATTCCCCAGTCACCCTTGGGGGTTAGAAGACTTTAAGGCGGGGGTCATAAAAAACGTTACAATAATCCCACCTTTTACACCACCCTTAATGTTTATTATCTAGAACTCTGTTTACAAACGATTTTGTTTTCATATATTATTTTTTGGTATTTTCATTTTTTCTATTTTTTTTGATATTTTTTTTTACAGAGCTCTAGATAATAAAAATATCAGATGTTAAAGGTTAGAGGTATTAACAAAGTCATTCTAATTCAGAATATTGCAAAATTTTAATGTTAGTTGATTTTCTCATTGTTGAAGTCCATACAGTAACATGCAACTTCATTTGGTCTCTGTAGGATAGTTGTCTCACATCTCTTCATTTCATAACAAATCAATTTGTAGGTTCTTATTATTATTATAAAGTGAACCTATGATGAAGGTAAGGGAAATTTTGACTGCCAACTGAGAGGAGGATATGTTGGACAGAAATTAAGCCTTGCAACAGGTCACCTACTGACCCCTCAAAGACTTGTGGCAAGGGTTCTTTAACGTGCAGAGTGGCACTGTCCCTACACATAGGAACTATATACTTTTTAAATTGCCATTCCAATTTTTGTTGGTTTTAAAAATGATAACTTTAGAAGACTTTAAGGCGGGGGTCATAAAAAATATTACAATAATCCCACCTTTTACACCACCCTCAATGTTTATTATCTAGAACTCTGTTTACAAACAATTTTGTTTTCATATTATTTTTTGGTATTTTCATTTTTTATATTTTTTTTGTATATATTTTTTGGTATTTTCACTTTTTATAATTTTTTTTTATATTTTTTTACAGAGCTCTAGATAATAACAATATCGGATGATAAAGGTTAGAGGTATTAACAAAGTCATTCTAATTCAGAATATTGCAAAATTTTAATGTTGGATGATTTACTCATTGTTGAAGTCCATACAGTAACCTATTTTACATCAACATCATTTGGTCTCTGTAGGATAGTAATGTCTCGCATCTCTTCATTTCATAACAAATCAATTTGTAGGTTCTATAAAGTGGGCCGATGATGAAGGTAAGGGAAATTTTGACTGCCAACTGAGAGGAGGATATGTTGGACAGAAATTAAGCCTTGCAACAGGCCACCTACTGACCCCTCAAAGACTTGTGGCAAGGGTTTTTTAATGTGCAGAGTGGCACTGTCCCTACACATAGAAACTATACTTTTTAAATTGCCATTCCAATTTTTGTTTGTTTTAAACATGATAACTTTAGAAGATTTTAATTGATTGTTGTTGATTGTTGGTTGCTTAACATCCAGTGGCAAATATTTCATACATATTCAGGACGAGAACAAGTTAACAATAAATACAATAGGTAGGTTCTGTAATAGGGGCTTCCTGGATTAAGGTCGGAGAAATTTAGACTGCAACGGACGCCCCACTTTAGCAAGGGATTTACTGCCGGTCGGAGGAAGACCAATGGTGACCATACTTCTATTCCCCAGTCACCCTTGGGGGTTAGAAGACTTTAAGGCGGGGGTCATAAAAAATGTTACAATAATCCCACCTTTTACACCACCCTCAATGTTTATTATCTAGAACTCTGTTTACAAACGATTTTGTTTTCATATATTATTTTTTGGTATTTTCATTTTTTATATTTTTTTTTATATTTTTTTTTACAGAGCTCTAGATAATAAAAATATCAGATGTTAAAGGTTAGAGGTATTAACAAAGTCATTCTAATTCAGAATATTGCAAAATTTTAATGTTAGTTGATTTTCTCATTGTTGAAGTCCATACAGTAACATGCAACTTCATTTGGTCTCTGTAGGATAGTTGTCTCGCATCTCTTCATTTCATAACAAATCAATTTGTAGGTTCTATAAAGTGGGCCGATGATGAAGATAGGGGAAATTTTGACTGCCAACTGAGAGGAGGATATGTTGGGCAGAAATTAAGCCTTGCAACAGGCCACCTACTGACCCCTCAAAGACTTGTGGCAAGGGTTCTTTAACATGCAGAGTGGCACTGTCCCTACACATAGACACTATACCGTAGTGCATAGTTCTGAATCTCGGTCAAGGTTTTACTATATTTTTGGTTTAAAGTTCTTAAATGATTGTATTGGGTTCTTGACTTTCCAATACTTTAGCCTCAAATATCACTGTCTGGAGAGATTTTGTTGAAATAATTTCAAAATGAATTTCTCAAACGTTTTCTGATCATTTTTGGTTAAAAAATATTCATATTTCCTTAAATAACAGTTTTGTTGACTGAGTGCTCACATCAATAGATATAAACAATTCACCAAAGTTTCATGCAAATTGGTGAAAGTGTTTTTGAATTAATGTCGACGATGGACGGACAGACAGACAGACGGACGGACAGACAGTCAATGGTATACCATAATATGTCCCGTAAACGGGCATATAAAAAGTCAAAAAGAAACAATGAACAATGCCTTGATTCCCCAAAAAAGTAAAACATTTGTATAAATTTTAGACTAGACACCATCAAATTAAATCTTGAGAATATGGCCTCTGAAGTCTGCAGATGTTCATATCAAATGATGTACACATAAATATAATAAAAAAAGTCTGCAGATGATCATATCACATGATGTACACATAAATACAGACAAAAACATGCAATCGTATAGTACCATTTGAATTAGTCGGTTTGATTTCATGTCAAGGATTAAAAATTTCTTAAGGGGTTTTGTGGAACCTAATGTATTGCCTGCTATAGCTGCTGTCAGTGTAATATAGAATTTAAGAATAGAGAGAGTCTATTTATCAGTAAAATACAGAAATTAAAAAAAGATCAAACTTTTGTCTTAGATGCTGTTTAATTTCTAAATAATTTACAAACTTATATTTGTATCTATCATACACCATTATAAGGATTTAATATTTGAATAATTTTTATTTCTAGAATTTTGGTTAATCATGAATAAATCATACAAAGAAATGAACATGCACAACAAGGTCATGGTTTTCTCCAACTGTTAATGATGTCTTTACACTAAATCCATTGGTGTGGATGTGTACTGATTGATATTTTAGTCTTAAATGCATAATTTTTTTATTAGTTTTTATTGTCTTTGAACTAACTGTCAGCAACTACTTAAAGCTTGTACTCTTTATCAGATCTGTACACGGTAGTGTTTTTTTGTTGTTGCGAGAATGTATAAGTACCCTTCTCCTTCCGGTCAGTTTTGTGTATTTGTTAGATGTATTTCTGCTTTGTATCAATCTGATGAGTTATTAGCCATCTTCAACTGATTTTAATAGTTTGTTATGTTGTACTGTTACACAACTGTCTCAGGTAAGGGGAGGGAGGGTACTGGAACCTTCAAACTAGTTTAACCCCAAACCCCTTGTTCTGTATATGGCTGTCCCACGTCAGGAGCCTGCAATTCAGCAATTGTCATTTGTTCATGCTATATATCATGTTTGTTTTTCGTTCATTATTTTGCTTTCTCGTTTTAATTGTTTTATAGCTGTAATTTCAGGGCCTTTCATAGCCGACTATGCTCATTGTTGAAAAATTTCACATTTACAAAGGTAAAAGTGACGACAACCAAATTTAAACTTGATCTACGTTTTGTAGTAAATTAATCGTTGTGTACATATTTTATAACATAAGGTCCAGTCAAGCTAAAGTTAGGAGAATGGAGACCAATTTTGGAATGAATGTACAGCGAGTGAATAAATAATATTTAAAATAATCCCACTTTTTAGTGGAGAGTTGTCTCATTGGCAATCATACCACATGTTCTTGTAATTATGTTTACAACTTTTATCATTAAGAACCCTTGGTTCAGTGAAATCCTTTAAAAACAGCAAACATTTTATTAAGGAAAAATGTCCTACAGCACATGCAAAGAGTGGAATAATCAACATGGTGATACAAAATCCATATATACAAGTATACCTGGATTCATGCTACATAGTAATAGAAGGTTCACAATAAGAAAAAAGAAGTCTCCTTTGTTGTAATTTTTTATAGTTCCCAACTGACCTCACCAACAACCCCCAGGCTAAGGTCAAGATATGAGCCAGTTCCTGTATCGGATGCTCCTTATAACTAGCTATGTAGGAATTACAGAAGGATCGAATCAATAATGTCAACAAACTTTGAAAAAAGAAATGCCTAAATTGGGAAGTGTGAAGTAAAAGTACAATGTAAGTTCCTCTGTCATCCCCAAGAAGCCCCTGAATCAAGTCTACTTCATATGTAAAAATGAAAGATAGGGTGGATATCTAAAACCAGCAGCATACTTGTCCCAATGGCAATCATACCACATCTGATGTTTATATGTAAATGTGATTTGAATATGAAATATTAGGTCGTTGCTCCATTGTTAAAGACCCTGTATCAATCTCTGTCATTTGGTCTTGATGAAGAGTTTGTCTATTGGCAATCATATCACATCTCCATATTTGTATTCTAGAACAGCATTTTATTGTTGAAGACAGTATGTTAACCTAGTTATTATGTGTCTTGGCCATATTTTGTTGTTGGTAAGTAAATGCTGTCTCATTGACGTTAATTATCCCACATATCCTTTTATACATATGCTGAGTCGTTTTGAGAACAATTACTAGATAAGATAAAGACTCCTTAAGAAAAAGATCTAGTTTTTCTTCAAAGCCAACTTGTCTTTGCTCTTTCTCTTTAGGTTTTTTTGGGTAGTGAAGGAATATAGCAATACCAGTTTTGAAGTCTCTACCTTTGACTCAGCTGGGGCGGGGAATAAAGGATTATTTAGACTGCTACAGGGGGATGACCAAGACTAGAAGAGGAGCATACTGTGAACCAACTCATTTTTCGGACAATTTATTTAATAGACTTCAAAGAAAAGAAGTAAGCCAAATATAAATCACGAGAATTTCAAAATAGAATTGTCTGTTGTATGAAATAACCCGAAAAATTAGATAATCACGAAACATATCCATGTGAAATATGCTAAAAATGGCTATATGGTCGTTAAGTCTTTTCGTTTGAATTGTTTTACATTTTGTGATTTCTGGGCCTTTTATAGCTGACTATGTGGTTTGGGCTTAGCTCATCGTTGAGGGCCTTACAGTTATCTATAGCTGTTAATTTCTGTGTCATTTAGTCTCTTGTGGAGAGTTGTCTCATTGGCAATCATACCACATCTTTTTTTATATATACATGCAAGCAGAAAAAATCCTATGTGAAATATGAAAGAAATGGCGATACGCGAAAAAAAATATCAGCTGCAAATTATGATAGAAATGTCTATATGGTCGTTAGTTTTTTCGTTTGAATTGTTTTACATATGTGATTTCTGGGCATTTTAAAACTGACTATGTGGTTGGGGCTTTGCTCATCGTTGAGGGCCGTACATTTACCTACAATGTATAGCTGTTAATTTCTGTGTCATTTAGTCTCTTGTGGAGAATAGTCTCATTGGCAATCATACCACATCTTCTTTTTTTATATATACATGTAAGCAGAAAAAATCCTATGTGAAATATGAGAGAAATGGCGATACGCGAAAAAAAATATCAGCTGCAAAATTATGATAGAAATGTCTATATGGTCGTCAGTTTTTTCGTTTGAATTGTTTTACATATGTGATTTCTGGGCATTTTGAAACTGACTATGTGGTTGGGGCTTTGCTCATCGTTGAGGGCCGTACAGTTACCTACAATGTATAGCTGTTAATTTCTGTGTCATTTAGTCTCTTGTGGAGAGTTGTCTCATTGGCAATCATACCACATCTTCTTTTTTATATATACGTGGAAAAATTCCTATGTGAAATATGATAGAAATGGCGATACGCGAAAAAAAATATCAGCTGCGAAATATGAAAGAAATGTTGCTACGCAAAAAAAATATCAGCTGTGAAATATAATAGGCGCAACACAAATAAAATGTCCATAAAATAAGTTGGTTTACAGTAGTTGGTTCCTATAGAAATGTCAACTGTGTTACAAAAATAGGACATTAAATTGGTGATAAACTGAGTTTAAAAGAAAGGTGGACATTAACTGTTCCCCATTATATTGAAATTTGAATATTATAATAATGGTCAATCGAAATGCAAAGAACAAATGTAAAAAAAAATTCTAAAAGTGAAATTCAGTCTGAATTTTACATTTCATCACCCCAAAGAGATTCCTTATTTAACTGTCCCATTCTGAATTATAGGTATTAGGTACATATTTATCAGTAGTTAAATCATGTTAAGACTAAATTTATGGCACTTTTTCTTTATTTGAAAGTTATTTACTAACGACAGTTAGTCTCAGCCCAATAAATTCTATTGTGCACACATACTTAATAAATACAAAGCAACCATATCTCTCCATCTTGTTAGTACCCCAAACCCTTATTAGAATGTCATACATCAATCTCTCTCTCCCTTGCGCCATCTATCACGCCACTAATACCTAACAACCTATTTAGGAAGTATCATGTTAGTAAACCCCCCAGGTTAGTGTTGATACTTCAAAGAATAAAAAGATTTTTAAATGAAGTACTAGACATGGAGGGACAAGTATAATTTTTTAAAGAAATTAAAATATTTCATAAACTTAAATGAATGGATGTTACAATTTTCAGTGTAGCCAACTGGTTAGTGGAATAACCTTCATTAAGATTGCCAGAGACCAAAACTTTGTGAAGCCAAAAACAAAGCTTTTCATGATCATTAAAAAGCCAACCAAAAGAGATAATATTTCATTATCTCATAATTAATAAACTGGAAATTTAGAGGAATAAAAATAATAATTTAAATTTCTAAAAGCATTACTGCAGACCTTAATACTGATTCAGAATGAGAAAAAGGTTATAATTAATTAAATAATGAAATAATGTTGAAGAAGGAGAATTTTTTTTCATCTGAAAAAAGGAAAAAATGGCATAAGAAAACTATTGAAAAATTTAAAAAAAGAACTAAAACAAACTAGAGGCTCTCAAGAGCCTGTGTCGCTCACCTGATTCTACTTTGGTTTTGGAAATCATAACGGATACCCTAATGATGATTGAGGCCAAATTTGGTTTAATATTGGCCCCGTAATTAAATAAAAAATCTTGGGGTATGACTATTTCCCATAGGGTCTTATGTTAAACTAAGTCCCCTGCTGGCAGCCATCTTGAAGGATGGTTCAGCTACAAAGTAACAACACTTAGTCAGCACCTCATTAGGAACATTCATGCCATGTTTGGTTTCATTCTATTCAGTGGTTCTCTAGAAGAAAACATTTGTATGTATTTCCCATAGGGTCCTATGTTAAACTTACTCCCCCTGCTGGCAGCCATCTTAGGAGACAAATCAGCTACAAAGTAACAACACTTGGTCAGCACCTCTAAAGAAACATTCATACCATGTTTGGTTTCAATCCATTAAGAAATTTTCTACAAGAAGACATTTGTATATATTTCCCATAGGGTCCTTTGTTAAACTAAGTCCCCCTGCTGGCATCCATCTTGGTTGATGGATTTTCTACAAAGTAACAACACTTGGTCAGCACCTCATAAGGAACATTCATGCCATGTTTGGTTTAATTCCATTCAGTGGTTCTTCAAAAGAAGACTTTTGTATGTATTTCATATAGCTAGGGTCCTTTGTTAAACTAAGTTCCCCTCTGGTAGCCATCTTGGATGATTGCATGGCTACAAAGTAACAACACTTGGTCAGCACCTCATAAGGAAAATTCATGCCATGTTTGGTTTCATTCCATTCAGTGGTTCTCTAAAAGAAGACATTTGTATGTATTGTCAATAGGGTCCTATGTTAAACTAAGTCCCTCTCTGGTGGCCATCTCGGATGATGGATAGTCTTCAAAGTATCAACAATTGGTCACCAGATCATAAGGAACATTTATTCCATGTTTGGTTTCATTCCATTCAGTGGTTCTTTAAAAGAAGACATTTGCATGTATTTCCCATAGGGTCCTATGTTAAACTAAGTCCCTCTCTGGCGGCCATCTTGGATGACTGATCGGCTTCAAAGTAACAACACTTGGTCAACACCTCATAAGGAGCATTCATGCCATGGTTTGGTTTAATTCCATTTAGTGGTTCTCTAAAAGAAGACATTTGTATATATTGTCCATTATGGTCCAATGTTAAACGAAGTCCCCCACTGGTGGCCATCTTGGATGATGGATCAGCTACAAAGTAACAATACTTGGTCAGCACCTCATAAGGAACAATCATGCCATGTTTGGTTTCATTCCATTTACTAGTTCTCTAGAAGTTCAAAATGTAAAAAGTTAACGACGACGACGGACAACGACAACGGACGCCAAGTGATGAGAAAAGCTCACTTGGCCCTTTGGGCCAGGTGAGCTAAAAATGTTGACATTGCTATGGGAACCCTGCCCCTTTTAAGACAGACTTCATACAGGCACTTATCAAGGATAAAAAGAATCAAGCATTATCCCTTAATTTCACATTCCACAATGTAGGCGATCTCTTTTAATATAGATAACTCAAAAGTTGATCACACCTAACCCACTGAACCAGAAGAAGGATACAACAGATACGGCAAACTGTGCATCAACACTTGCCGTCGCCCAGAAACTATCAGCAAGGACCAGCTGAGAGCTAATAATTTGACAAAAGAGACTTCAACTTCCTGATTGTGAACTTTTCTTATGTAGCAGCAATCCAATTATACCTGAAAATGAATTTCATGTCTCCTTATTGATTATTCCACTCTTTGCATCTCATTCATGTAGGTATTTCCTTTAAAAAAAAAACAGTTGCTGCTTATGCTTAAAAAGAAACTTCTAAAACAATGGTTGTTAATGATCAAGTTGATTGAAAGTCACTCTTTACATGATTTATTGATTACAAAAATTCTAGATGTGAAAAAAATAATCATATACAGTCAAACCTGCCTTAAGGTCACCCACCACCTTGTTTAAGAGGTCAACTATCTCTTAACGGTCTCTTGGTGACCCTCTCAAGCATTTTCTCTATATATTTACTCATTTCAGTGGTCACCTGTCCGATGCGGTCACCTTATTTTATGCACGAAATCATCATTTTACTGTTTTTAATTACAATTATAATCATGATGAAAAATATATGTGTTCAGTATCAAAATCAAAATGAGAATCAGAACCCGTTTCGCGATTTGCAACATAGATCTTGCAATAGGAAGTAAATTTGTGAATCCTTGTATTCCACTCCCTTCAATAAATACCATTGAAAAGCATTTCACAGACTTGTTTATCCAATTATATCAACACCTTTAAATCAATAAATGTCTTCTTCAAATTGACAGTGCAAGAGTCCACCCTTTAATATTTGTCTGCTCACACAAACGAACGAACGAACGATAAATCTTCCAACTAAAACACTAAACCAAGTTGCATTCCCAGCCACAGAAACTCTTTTTAAAGGTCACTTTTCTCGAGCCCTCCCTTTTGATACTTCCCATGAGTGACATGCTTAAAACAGGTTTGACTGTACAAGATCCTTAATACTTATATCTTTATATTTAAATTTTCAGCAGTATCATATTTTTTTCTCCATCTTTTTTTTTTCTTTCATTTTTCTTAAATATATACTGCCGTCCCAACAAAAGATGTGTAATATAAAGACTAGATTCATGGGAAATTCTAAAATTTCATATTTTATCAAAATTTTTACCTTAATTGCAATGGGCCTGTTTAAAAAGAATCTACTGAATAAATAAATTATAATTAGGGTTTCAAGATAAAGTTGAAAGTCAATTCCTCCCATGATTCTAAACTAAAATTCTGTATGTGGTTAAACTGCAATGAGTCATCTGCAGACTTCCTTTCTGGAAGCATGTGTATTAAAAAATAAAGGAAATAGATCTTCAGCCTTATAAAACATATCATAAAGGTCTTATTTAACAAATCTCATTACCAATTTCTTTGAACTCAAATTTAGAGAAACTCAAACCTCTATATCACACAGGTTTTCAGCAGTATCATAATTTTTCTTCAGTTCACATTTTATTTTTTTATTTTTTCATTTTTCTTAAATATACTGCCGCGCCAACAAAAGATGTGTAATATAAAGCCTATTTATTCATTGGAAATTCTAAAATTTCATATTTTATCAAAATGTTTACCTTAATTTCAATGGCTGTTTAAGAAGAATCTACTGAATAATTAGGGTTTTAAAAGATAAAGTTGAAAGTCAATTTTTCCCATGATTCATAAACTAAAATTCAGCATGTAGTGAAACTGTAATTAGTCATCTGCAGACTTCATTTCTGGGAGCATGTGTATTAAAAAATAAAGGAAATAGATCTTCACCCTTATAAAACATGCTTTAAAAAATAAAGGTCTAATATAACAAATCTTATAACCAATTTCTTTGAACTCAAATTTAGAGAAACTCAAACCTCTATATCACACAGGTTTTCAGCAGTATCATATTTTTTCTTCAGTTCTCCACATTTTTTTTTATTACTTTTTTCATTTTTCTTAAATATACTGCCGCGCCAACAAAAGATGTGTAATATAAAGGCTAGAGTTTTTTGGGGAAATTCTAATATTTTGATATTTCAGCATAATTTCACCTAAATTATGGTGGCTACTTAAAAAGAAAAATAACTCAATAATTAGGGACTTTTTAACGGTAAAGTAGAAAGTTGATTCTTCACAGGATTCTGGATGTAGTTAAACTGCAATAAGTCATCTGCAGACTTCATTTCTGGGAACATGTATATTTAGAAAATAAAGGAAATGGATCATCGGCCCTTAAAAACTTCCTTTTTTTTTAAATGTCTAATTTAACCAATCTCATTACCAATATCTTTAAGTCAAATTTAGAGAATCTCAAACCTCGCTACATCACAAAACTCTCAGCAGAACTGTCTTCTCAGTACAACATTAGATCTTCTATCTCAAAAGTTTCATCTACGGCTGTCCCCTCCATTATAGGTCCGCTCTATACCAAAAACATCATCTACAATATAAAAAGAATTCAATTATTGAAAACTTTAGATTTGTAAACTACTGATATAATTGTAATAGGTGCCATATCCAACTTTGAAAAGCATACGATTATCATATAAAGTAAACAATATGTTTAAGCCTATCCATGTTAATAATGACTACACATTTTATAAAAACTTAATTGATCAATTTAAACAGAGTTAAAAGTATATGTCAAGTTTGAAATGATCTCAACACTTACAGATATTTAAACTGTGCTATGATATGAAGAGCCTTCGATATACCAAAGTCAATAAGGGAAATAACACAGGTATTTTTTTTATTTTTAAGGTACGTTATGCTGGTTTCTGCAGTTGGGCCAAGTTTTGCTAAAATATTTGAGAAACTCATGTGCAATGCTCAGAACCAAAACTCGTAAAAAGTGTTCAAATTTGAGCTGCGAGTCACTTATTGTTCTAGAATTATGTCCCTTTATAACCTGGAAAATTGCACACTAATAGTGACATCAAATGCTCTCAAAAAGCATTATTTTGCTTAATCATAAACACGAAATATGTGAAAGTTTTGATTGATAAATACTCTTCATTAGCCACAGACAAGAATAAGTCAGTTTTAGACAAGCGTAATAAGAATAAATATGAAAATCAGAAGAAGTGGTTTATTGCCAATGAGACCATTCTCCACTAGAGACCAAAAGACATAGAAGTTAACAATAATAGCTATTGGTCACCAAATAGCCTTCAACATTATGACAAATGTAAAACAAAAAAATTCAGATGAGAAAACTTAATTACAGCCTGATTTATATGTACAAATTTAACAATAGACGATAAAACAAATATGATATACAGCAAAAAACAACCACCCCTATATTACAGGCTCCTGACTTGGGACAAGCACATTAAAATGTAGTGGGGTTAAACATGTTTGCTGGCATCCAATCCTCCCACTTACTTAATTGGGACAGTGGTTTAACAGCATAACATTATTATATTAAGAACAAGCTATAAGTGGTTTAACAGCATAACAAGAACAAACTATAACTAGAGGCTCTTTGTCGCTCACCTTGGGTCTATATACATATTCAACAAAGGATACTCTCCAACATTGTAGATGAAAATAGAATTAATGACAAAAATCTTGGGTTTTTTATTATCTTATATTGCTTATCATTGAAGTCTGTTTAATTTCTCTCTATCTAATTTAGCTTTTGCTCCAAACAAATAAGAGGGTAAAAAAAAATTTCCAAATTTAAGGGCAACAACTCCTGTAAAGATTTATGGACTACTAATTATATCAGCAAAATTTGACTTGTTAGTAGGTCTTGTTTTGCTAATCGTTTTTGATTATTTAAGTTTCCATCTATCTATTATAATTTTTATCATATAATGCAAAATTCGTCATTTAAGGGCAATCACTCCAATAAGGAGTATTTGGACAACTTCCGCCATTCGTCTTAATTGTAGATCTTGTCTTGCTGATCATTTTTTGTTTATATAAGTTTCTTTTTATCTATCATAAGTTATAAGATATAAAACGAAAATGCAAAAAAAATTGTACATATCGTCATGAAAGGGCGTTAACTCTAATCAGAAGTCAAATGACTATTTCATACTACCCTTCTGATCATTTTTGCAGTTTAAAGTTTCTCTCTTGTCTATATAGTTTTCAATATAATAGGCAAATATGAAAAAATTCAAAAACAAGAGGCTCTCAAGAGCCTGAACCGCTCATCTGTAATTTTTTGCTTAAATCTTTCAATGATTATTTTTGCTTTTCAATATATATTAATATGAATGGCTTAAAACTTCCATTGAAATGTTCTAAGTATCTGTCATATTTTCTTCAAAATCAAAGAAATACATTTTCGCAGATGTTTCATTTTAGCCACAGTGGCAATGTTTCTTGACGTACAAGAAAATAAAATACGAAATTTATACTAGATACTCTGAAACTCATTCATCCCAAGTTTGGTTTCAAAGGAGATTTTTTAAAGTAAGCAAACATTATCACTGAACTAGTATACATATTTGTTGGCCAGCTGAAGGACGCCTCCAGGTGAGGGAGTTTCTCACTGCATTGAAGACCTATTGGTGGCCTTCAGCTGTTGTCTGCTCTATGGTCAGGTTGTTGTCTCTTTGACACATTCCCCATTTCCATTCTCAATTTTAAACTCAATAAATAAATTGTGAAAAATTTATTTTAAAGGGCAATAACTCCTTAAGGGGACAATTGAAAATTTTGGTCATATGAACTTATTTATAGATCTTACTTTGCTGAATATTTTTGCTGTTTACAGTTTATCTTTATCATTAATAATATTCAAGAAAATAACCAAAATCTGCAAAATTTCCTTAAAATTACCAATTAAATGGCAGCAATCCAACAATGGGTTGTTAGATTCATCTGAAAATTTCAGGGCTGACAGAGCTTGGCCTAATAAACATTTTTACCTCTCGTCAGATTAGCTCTATATGCTTTGGTTTTTGAGATATAAGCCAAAAATTGCATGTTACCCTTACGTTCTATTTTTAGCCATGGCGGCCATGTTTTTTTATGAAACAGAAAATAAAACAAACTTTCTTCTAGACATCCTTAGTATCATTCAGCTTAAGTTTGGTTGGAATTGGTTCAGTAGTTTCAAAGAAGATTTTTCAAAGTAAGAAAACATGATAAACAAATTGAGTAAAATTGTCCTTAAAGGGCAATAACTCCTTAAGGGGTCAATTGACAATTTTGATCATATAAACTTATTTGTAGATCTTACCTTGCTGAACATTTTTGCTGTTCACAGTTTATCTTTATCATTAATAATATTCAAGATAATAACCAAAAACTGTAAAATTTCCTTAAAATTACTGTAAAAGCAGAAATTTTCGTGGAGGATTTAATTTCGTTTATTTCGTGGAAAGAATATATCCACGAAATTAAAAACCCCACGAAAATTTAACCTACATATAATATCACTTCCATTTACTGGAAACCACGAAATATGATCCCCATGAAATCTTGTAAAGAGACAAAACCACGAAATTTTAACCCCACGAAAATTAATGTTTCTACAGTGCCCATGCCACTAACCCAACAATGGGTTATCAAATTCAACTGGAAATTTCAGGGCTGATAGAACTTCACCTAATGAACACTTTAATCTATGTCAGATTTGATCTAAATGCTTTGGTTTTTGAGAAATAAGCCAAAAGCTGCATTTTACCTCTATGTTCTATTTTTAGCCATGGCGGCCATTTTATTTGATGAAACAGTAAATAAAACACTCCCTTTATTCTAGATACCCTAAGCATCATTCAGCTTAAGTTTGGTTGGAATTGGTTCAGTATTTTAAGAGGAGAAGATGTTTGAATAGTTTTCACCAGACGGATGACGACAGATGACGACAGACGCCAAGTGATGACAAAAGCTCACCGTTCTGAGCTAAAAACTGCAAAATATGTTACACTATTCATACTTACTCCATCAAGTATTTTATAATTAGACAAAAATTTAAGTAACATAGAGACCTAAAGGGTAACTTTTTTGATTATTGGCCCAAAATTATAATATTCGATCATAGTCAGAGTTTGTATATATCATACATTAACATACATCAAAAAAAAAGTATTTGCAAAAATGAATTTTTAAGAATTATTTTCTGAAGATTTATAGATTAGTCAAATGGATAATATTCGTTCCGTTTTGGTGTTTCATACAGACGAATATGTTTTGTATTAGCTTAAGACCCTTCAAACATTAATGTGATAGATATATTAAACATTGTTTTACACAAGGATATGCATGCATGGAACTGTTTTACTTTCAAAGTTGTATTAAAGTGATATCTGTTAAGTACGGATTTCGACTCTCACCGTTTTTATTTTCTTTTACATGTGCTATCCAAACTTCCGGTTTAAACATACACAGGTTTCTAAATTGTTTATTGTGTGATTTTGACTTACTTTAACAATCGTGAAGTGTACTAGAATGAATCATTTACAAGCAGTTTCAACTTCTGTTTGATGATGGAAAACGGGTTTTTCCATGAAAATACTGCAAATGACCACACACAATTTGTGAAACTATATACCATAGTTTCATTAGACATTTTCCAACAGTTACAAATAGTTTTTTTTACCTGAAATTTAGTGGGGAGAAGGGGGTGCGGACAATGTACCAGTGCAAACATGACTGCCAAATATAAACCTCCATGGAAAAGAGAAATGATAATACTTATATTAACTGTTGACACAGAGACATGTCTTGCCTTTCAGCATAAAATTCAGAAAAAGACAATTTGATGGAAAGCAAGATTGCTTATTAAATCAGTCACTAGACCAAGATCAAGTGGACAGGGCCTGGAAATGGTCGACAAACACAGAGATGGACAGACGTTATGTAACTTTATAGAAATTATCGTTGTTTATTGTAACTTTGAATTATTTAGCAATTTTCAATGTTACGATTTTCTGCTTAAGTTACATATATATATATATATATATATTGATAGGAACTGATAGAAATGCGACTTCATACAAAATATCATTGATCTATCACAAATAGATCCTATATCAAACTGACTTAAGCAGAACAACTTAACATTGAAAATTGCTAATTAATTCAAAGCCCCTAGGACCTAGGGACAGGGCCTCAAAATAGTCGTCAAACTGATAGATGTACTGATAGTAAAGCGACTTCATACAAAATATCATTAATCTAGAACAGTTAGTTCCTTTCAAACTAACTTGAGAAGAAAACTTAACAATTGTTGATGCCAGAGCCGAAACTGTCATTGTCGCCAGAAAAACAATCCCTGTTTTACTTTCCATGACTTTCGTCACAAGAGAGGCTTTAATGCACATTTACAGATAAGACAAATCAACTGTGCAAAATTTGGTTTGGTTTGTGCGTTTACAGAAAATTGTGGACAAAAAACACAGATGGACAAATAGAAAAATAAAGGGATCCCTTGTCCTATTGGAAGGCCCTAATAATAGTTTACACTTCTCTGTATTGCATGCTCAATTGAAGCTTGATACTGTCTAAATTTCAGAATTAAATTTGGTATTCCAAAAACTGATGAAAACGAGGACTCAGATGAACTGACATATTTAACCAACAAACCCTCCTTCCTTCCATTGGACGTGGAAATAAATTCATATTTAACACTTTAATAATATACCATAATTGACTAAATAGAGAGATTGTTACTCATTTAAAGTATTATATACCCTAATTGGCAGGTTGTCCCTATTATTGACCAACCTGGAAGACTTTGCATTTAAAGTTAGGAGACAATGAGTGAATTAATTACAAAAGATAATAAAGATGCTTACCATGAAACAACCTGCCATTTCCATCATCTTGTCTAGTGTTGCCTGCCAGTGTTTTGTCTAGTGTGGCTCATTACAAACACTGCACTGGAAGCCTGAAAACAATGATTCAAACAGTCAGTAAATATTGACACAAATAATGAAATTATTCTATTATTATACAATTGGAGACAATTCTTTAACAGAGTTCGCGAAAATGGTCGGTCCTGTCGGTCAAAATGAGGCTCGGACCAGTATTTTGAAGGCTAGTGCCGGTCCCGATGACCGATGTAATAACGGCCGTTGTAGTGCATATAACTTTGGCACTTTTTTACATCAGTTATTAGATGTACCGCAACTGTTTCCAATAAGTGTTTACATCGGTTATCAGATGTACCCGCTGCCAATTTCCGGTACTGGTTTACGGATTTATTAAAAACAAACCAAAGCGGCGATTTACACGTGGCCTACTAAATTTGTTCATAGAGCCATCCTTGGCAAACAATCGGCGATCGAACCCTTCAATGGAGCAAACAAATACTGTAACAGCCGAGAAAGCGATTAAGATGATGAAATGGATAGTGAAGATGACTTTAAATAAGAACAATCAGAAGATCTGAACTGGTCCTTCATTGTTAATTTGCCTGTGGGTGCGAAGAATCAAACTAATATTAATAAAGTTATTTTTCGATAAAATATGTTATTAATTATTTTTTCAGGATAAAATTGACAGATTTTGTAGGACTAGCTAAAATTTTGTAGGACTGACAAATAATCATGCTTTGTCGGTCCCATGACCGACGGGTCGAAATAAGTTTTCGCGAACTCTGCTTTAATTTCCCACACTCTGTAAAAGGTTGGGACCAAACCCCATATATATGGTGACAATATTTGTATAGTGATTTCCTTAACCTCCTACAGCTGATTAAAATTATCCCTCTGTAATGAGATTTATTTGTTGAGTCTGTCTTTATGCAGAAAATGGCAAAACAAGAGCATTTTCTACTTAATATGGCAATAACCTGCCACATTCGATGCACCAATTGATGTATACCTACTTTATTTAATATGGTCTATTTTACTGCTAAAGTGACTGAAAATACAATTTATTTTTCACCACATATCTGTTATGATCAGGTAAATTCTACTCAGTTATGCCTCAATGAAAAAATTTCTATTGTTAGATTTAACATAAAATTCAATGGTCAACTTTATATTTCCCTATATTGTTGTTGGTCAGGTGTTCAGGTACAATAGATTGCAAGTTAATGTTTTCACATTAGCTGAAAACTAGTGGTCCAAATTTGTAGTAACCTGCAAATTGACCGGTCAATAATTGATACCTTTTCATAGACTAACTGATACAGACAGAGATTGTAGCTAGAAAAGCACTTTAGCCATTTTCCTGCTTTAAATCAACTTTAAACAAATATAGGTGTAATACCACCATTGAATTGCATATCCCCTATAAGTCTTTGTTAAATTTGCACTTTTCAAAAAATTGTGCAGAATTTTTAATATCTTTATTTCAAATAAAAAAATACTTGGCACGAGTAAAGTTTTATCCTGTCCAATACTATAGAAAAAATTTCAAATAACATTTCAATGCGTATAAGAAAATAACTATCACTCTGGAAGTTAAACAATCAAATTTTCACCTCTTTTTTCCTGTATACAAGCTTTAGTAACCATGTTACAGCCAGTTTCTAAAATATTCAATAGAAACACCAAATAAAAACAAGAGTGCACACACTGAAATGTCTCGCCTTCTTTACTAATCATTGATATGTTGATAGTCCTAAATATAAAGCTTTATTACAACTGTCACATAAACTTAACATTAACCAAGTAAACTAAACATTGACCAATGAACCATGAAAATGAGGTCAAGGTCAGATGAACCATGCTAGGCAGGCATGTACAGCTAACAATTCTTCCATACAACAAATATAGTTGACCTATTGCTTATAGTTTAAGAAAAACAGACGAAAACACAAAAACTTAACACTGAGCAATGAACCTTGAAAATGAGGTCAAGGTCAAATAAAACCTGCGTGACTGACATATAGATCATAAAATATTTCCATACACCAAATATAGTTGAACTATTGCATATAGTATTAGAAAAAAAGACCAAAACTCAAAAACTTAACTTTGACCACTGAACCATGAAAATGAGGTCAAGGTAAGATGACACCTGCCAGCTAGACATGTACAGCTTACAATCATTCCATACACCAAATATAGCTGACTTATTGCATGCAGTATTAGAAAGAAAGACCAAAACTCAAAAACTTAACTTTGACCACTGAACCATGAAAATGAGGTCAAGGTCAGATGACTCCTGCCAGCTAGACATGTACACCTTACAATCATTCCATACACCAAATATAGTAGACCTATTGCATACAGTATAAGAAAAACAGACCAAAACACAAAAACTTAACTATAACCACTGAACCATGAAAATGAGGTCAAGGTCAGATGACACCTGCCAGTTGGACATGTACACCTTACAGTCCTTCCATACACCGAATATACTAGACCTATTGCTTATAGTATCTGAGATATGGACTTGACCACGAAAACTTAACCTTGTTCACTGATCCATGAAATGAGGTCGAGGTCAAGTGAAAACTGTCTGACGGGCATGAGGACCTTGCAAGGTACGCACATACCAAATATAGTTATCCTATTACTTATAATAAGAGAGAATTTAACATTACAAAAAATCTGCTTTTTTTTCAAGTAGTCACTGAACCATGAAAATGAGGTCAAGGACATTGGACATGTGACTGACGGAAACTTCGTAACATGAGGCATCCATATACAAAGTATGAAGCATCCAGGTCTTCCATCTTCTAAAATATAAAGCTTTTAAGAAGTTAGCTAACGCCGCCGCCGCCGCCGCCGGATCGCTATCCCTATGTCGAGCTTTCTGCGACAAAAGTCGCAGGCTCGACAAAAATTATGGTGCTTTGAAACAGCCAAGATATATGTTTATGACTCAGACATTTTTTATTGCAATGAGATGTTACGGATTAATTTCCTTCAACTGTCAAATTAAAGGGATTATTTTTTTTTCATATATGCAACCAGATGATGTACCATGATTTGATGGTTTTAAACCTTTATACCTCCAGCCCTCTAAAGAAAGATAATTTTATTCACTTATGCAAGTATTATCACCATATAAGTTGTTTGGTCCCAACATGTGCAAGACAAAAAGAAGCTAAGTGTTTATTTCCCTTAGTCTCTTAGGGAAGATAGATACTAGACAGACTGATGCCTATATATATTATAACGCTTTTCATTGTGAAAATCAAATAATCCTGGAGTAACATTCTTTACTCACAAAAGATTTAGAAATTACAAACTATGATCTAGTCTTTATATTTCCGCAGTGTCACATCACTCAAATGACACTACTGCATGACCAGATTTTTAAACAAAATTAATTCTAGGATTTCTAAATAAATATATATACATGTATATCTTACATTTGATTCTTTTCGTAAGCATAGATAATGTAATTTTAGATCATATATGTTTTCAACAATGTCGAACAAAGTAAACTTTTCAATTTTAAATCATTATTTAACTGTTAATCATCCAAAGTCTATAAAAGTTATATTAACAGAAAAAAAACAGCTGGGCCATAAGCGCATGAAAGGGCTGTCGTCTTGTGTGTGAATTTTTATGCAATAATCATAAATAGTTTCTGACATACATTGTACGGCGCCACATGCGAAAACTCCCCTCTTTTTAACAAAAAACTCAATATCTCTAAAACAAAATTTTAAATCAAAACCAAAAAGTATACAGATCTTTAGATTAATATAACTAAGAAGTGTGTAAAGTTTTAAGCAATAATCATAAATTGTTTTTGAGATATGGCGCGACATGTGAAAACCCCCCTTTTTTTATTTTTACAAAAAACTCAATATCTCTAAAATAAAATTTTGAATCAAAACCAAAAAGTATACAGATCTTTAGATTAATATAACTAAGAAGTGTGTAAAATTTTAAGCAATAGTCATAAATCGTTTTTAAGATACGGCACGACCTGTGAAACTCCCCTTCCTTTTACAAACAAGAGTGCACTCGCTGAAATGTCTCGCCTTCTTTACTAATCATTGATATTATGTTGATAGTCCTAAATATAAAGCTTTATTACAACTGTCACATAAACTTAACATTAACCAAGTAAACTAAACATTGACCAATGAACCATGAAAATGAGGTCAAGGTCAGATGAACCATGCTAGGCAGGCATGTACAGCTAACATTTCTTCCATACAACATATACAGTTGACCTATTGCTTATAGTTTAAGAAAAACAGACCAAAACACAAAAACTTAATACTGAGCAATGAACCTTGAAAATGAGGTCAAGGTCAAATAAAACCTGCGTGACTGCCAAATAGATCATAAAATATTTCCATACACCAAATATAGTTGAACTATTGCATATAGTATTAGAAAAAAAGACCAAAACTCAAAAAACTTAACTTTGAACACTGAACCATGAAAATGAGGTCAAGGTCAGATGACACCTGCCCGCTAGACATGTACACCTTACAATCTTTCCATACACCAAATATAGTAGACCTATGGCCTACAGTATAAGAAAAACAGACCAGAACACAAAAACTTAACTATAACCACTGAACCATGAAAATGAGGTCAAGGTCAGATGACACCTGCCAGTTGGACATGTACACCTTACAGTCCTTCCATACACCGAATATACTAGACCTATTGCTTATAGTATGTGAGATATGGACTTGACCACCAAAACTTAACCTTGTTCACTGATCCATGAAATGAGGTCGAGGTAAAGTGAAAACTGTCTGACGGGCATGAGGACCTTGCAAGGTACGCACATACCAAATATAGTTATCCTATTACTTATAATAAGAGAGAATCTAACATTACAAAAAATCTTAACTTTTTTTTCAAGTAGTCACTGAACCATGAAAATGAGGTCAAGGACATTGGACATGTGACTGACGGAAACTTCGTAACATGAAGCATCCATATACAAAGTATGAAGCATCCAGACCTTCCACCTTCTAAAATATAAAGCTTTTAAGAAGTAAGCTAACGCCGCCGCCGCTGGATCACTATCCCTATGTCGAGCTTAGGCTCGACAAAAAATCAATATCTCTAAAATTAAAATTTTGAATCAAAACCAAAAAAGTATACAGATCATTAGATTAATATAACTAAGAAGTGTGTAAAATTTTAAGGAATAATGATAAACCGCTTTTGAGATACGGCGCAACATGTGAAAAACCCCTTCCCTTTTTTTACAAATACTCAATAACTCAAAAATAAAATTTTGAATCATCACCAAAAAGTATACAGATCTTAAGATTAATATAACTAAGAAGTGTGTAAAGTTTTAAGCAATAATCATATATTGTTTTTGAGATACGGCGCGACATGTGAAAAAAAACACACACCTGTTTTAGTTATTAAGTCCTGTAACTCAAAAAGTTTTAATCTTATTTTCACAAAAAAGTATACAGATCGTTTGACCATCATAAGAAACAACTATGTTAAGTTTCATGAAATTTGGATAAGTCATTCTCAATTAAGTTACTCTGCCACATGTTTACACTGGACAGACAGACGACATTTGTATACCATAATACGTCCCGTCAAAATTTTGACATGGGGACGTATACAAAAGAATCAAATGATCGCTCTGCCATAAAAATCCAATTTTCCAAATTGAGAAACATTAAGATAGGACATAGGACCAAAGAGGCTCCCGTCTTGGGACAGGCACATTAAAATAATATAAGAGTTACCACACTATTATCATAGCACACTGTAGACAGTAAGCTAGCAAATGCCCTTAAAGTGCTATGAGATGCACCAACATTGTACTTGAAGAATGAAAATATGATGAGTACAGTACACAAAACAAAATGTACATGAAAGGAGAAGGCCCGGGCATTAAGACCCGGTTTTGCCCCAAAAAAAATATTCAAATTTGCACATGTTTGGGAAAGCATAAAATCAAGAAATATAAATGAATTATATACACAAGATTTTTGATGTTATGACGTCACATTTTATGAAAACAAAGAAAACTAACTGCTAACTTTGTGCAGTTTTCCGTCAATATTTCCTTTAAAGAAACATCATACACAGGCAAGAAACAATAAAATAATTTGAGAGAAGCTTTATCATAACCATTGACATATATTCTAACCAAATATAAAGTTGTTTCTTGGATAGATATAAGATATGTGGTACGAGTTCAAATGAGATGCACACAATTATCATGCATATACTTTCCCTATCTTATATTGACTTAAAAGTTGATGTAAAACAAGGAAAATCAAGAAATTGTATAAAATATATACATTTAGTCGAGGTCTACTATAACACGTGTCACAGTAGGTCTTTTCACCACTGAACACCACCGCACACTGCCGAACACATTAAAATACCATCTAACACACATAAATATATTGTTTTCATCTTTATTTATATATTTGATGAATTCTGAATGAAAATGAATATGTTTATACATATATACACACAAATTAAAAAGAAATAACAAGAGAACCAAAAAGAACAGTCTTGAAGGGCTGTTGTCAGAACAGTATACTTTCAAGTCTAACAGTTTTTTAAATATAATTATTGTGATAATTTCACATTAAATAAAATGTTTTAACTTATTTGAACAATTTATTTCTAATTATTGAAAAGTAAAGACCATAAGATAATAAATTACAAGGAAATACAGACAATGTGAATCCGTAAAAAAATATTGCTGGATCCGGAAGCGTTTTTTTTTTTTATTTGTTTTGATTCTCAACTTAAAACAACACTAATGCACATAAAAATGTGAAAAACATGACCGCAGGATTAAATTTTAAGCAATTCAATTGATTTTCTTGTGCAACATTACTTTTTTTCTTAAGGGTTAGTGGTCTTTTCGGGTGTTTGGTGGTGTTCAGCAGTGTTCGGTGGTGAAAAGACCGACCCCATGTGTTATAGTATTCTCAGATGTAGTTTGTTGGCATGGTAACTCGTTAAATGTTGAATTTGTTAATATCATTTTCACTTTTAAATTTGTACACCTTAACAAATGATTAAGTTTCCTGCATTTTGAGTTGCAGAAAAGCTGAAATTTTTATCTCGTCTTGTGCAAGATTATTTGCTTTCAGCTTTAACCAGGCCAGGATTTTCATTTTCAAAATCCTTCTGCCCCTGCTGCAGGCAGGACAGAGATTACAACTAAAAAAAAATGCAGGACAAAATTTTTCATCCTAGCCCCCCATAAAAATCAAATGGCAGCTCCCTTAGAACTTTTAGCTGATCTATAAACTTTTAAGATGAACATTAAAAATAAACAAAGTTGTCAAAACATTGGATGTTGCAATGGTAAAATGTTCCCTTTCATATAATAAACTCACTGTAACTATGTATTTGTCACTGAATCTTCGTCATAACCCTTTTTATCTAGGAGCAAAAGGTATAACATCTTTCTCGTATGTCATGAAATACAATATGGACGACGTTTAAAGCGCGCGAAACAGGCAGCCCGGGGCTAGATTAGACCAAAAATTTTATTAATTATCATTCATTGATTTTAACCAATAATAAAAAATACAAAATCGATCATTTTGCTCACACACATTTTTTTATATTTTTTAAATCGTTTCTTTCTTCTTTTTTTCATCGTAAAAAAATATAATTTAGATTTGACCTTGAACTGTGCATACAGCTCACCTGTGCTATGTTGTCGTTGTTAAGAAATCGCAATTTATCCAGAGACAACCTTCTTTGGTCTATGGACATTGGTTAATTGTTCCTTCAGCCATGAGGGACAAGCTAGGCGAGCGTAAAATGGGGATAACCGACTATTTATCTTTTAAGGGCATGGGTTTGTTTTGAATAATTATTTCTTGACGGAGAAAAAAAATGCAGAAGGGATGCATTTCCATCGAAAATTACGGAAATAATGAATTCAACATCGATCTTAGATAAATTTGTTCCTGTGTTCATGAAAAAATATCGAAAAAAATGTGTGTCCCAAGATACAAAACCATGCACCCCATATATAAAAGATAAATGGTCGTTGCCTAAAGAAGATGCTTCACGGTTTTCTGTGAAACAAGTTTTATTTTAGAGAAATGATAAATGTTATATAATTATCTAGACAGACTACAAAGTATATGATCGTATATATGTGCATGAACAGAGACGGAAGTTTTAATGATCTTTAATGAATCACAAAAAAGTCATCAACATCAGAAAAAAATTACCCAGTGTGCAATATTTGTCGTTGGGTGGACTTGCAGAGATAGCTAGAATGAGGGGGGACAAGGGGGTTCCAATAACAGCAAAACAGTAAATTGATTTGGCTTAAAACAGATAACAAGGAATTGAAAAGGGATAATAACAGATAACAGTAAATGAAATCTTAAAATCAGTCCGGTCCAGGATCAATACAGTAGATCTTATTATTTAACTGGTTGTATGGACCTAGCTATATATAGGGAAAAAAATAAGGCCGAAAATGCAGCAACCATATCCTTGAAGATCTGTTAAACAGTGAAACCGGTAGGCTACTATGGAGGATACTATAGAGTCCATTATGAACATTTTGATATTGTAATAGACAAAATGTAAATATTCATATTGAATATAAATATTTGGTGCATTTTCAGCCTTATTTTTACGCCCCCGTCGTAGCGGTGGGGGCATTTAGTTTGACCCTTGTCCGTCTGTACGTACGTACGTCCGTCCGTACGTCCCAAAATTGAGTTTGCCTCAACCAAATGTTATGAAACTTATACACAATGCTTACTACCACAAAACACAGATCAAGTTTGAATTTTGGTGGCGTCACTGTAACCGTTCTAGAGTTATGCCCCTTTATAAATGGAAAAATTGCAAAATTTTTAATTTCCGTTCTCTAACTTAAGTTTGCCTCAACCAAATGTTATGAAACTTATACAATATGCTTATTACCACAAAACACAGATCATGTTTGAATTTTGGTGGCGTCACTGTAACCGTTCTAGAGTTATGCCCCTTTATAAATTGAAAAAATGCAATTTTTTTTAGTTTCCGTTCTCTAACTTGAGATTGCCTCAACCAAATTTTATGAAACTTATACACAATGCTTATTACCACAAAACACAGATCAAGTTTGAATTTTGGTGGCGTCACTGTAACCGTTCTAGAGTTATGCCCCTTTATAAATTGAAAAAATGCAAATTTTTTTAGTTTCCGTTCTCTAACTTGAGATTGCCTCAACCAAATTTTATGAAACTTATACACAATGCTTATGACCACAAAACACAGATCAAGTTTGAATTTTGGTGGCATCACTTTAACCGTTCTAGAGTTATGTCCCTTTATAAATGGAAAAATTGCAAAATTTTTATTTTCTTCTAAATATCAAGTAATTTTTAAAATCGGAGTTATCTTCCTTTGTCCATGATTATAGTTGAATCAACTACAATCATGCTTTATACAATGCAATGTTTAATTTTGACTTCCACTGATAAAACACAGATCAAGTTGAATTTGGGTAGTGTCACTTTAACCATTATTGAGTTATGCCCCTTTATAAATCGAAAGATTGCAAAATTTTTAGTTTCCATTCTGTAACCAAAGTTTGACCCAACCAAACATTATGAAACCTATACACAATATTCATTACCAGAAAACTAAGATCAAGTACATATTTTTTGTTTCCGTTTTCTAACTTTAGTTTGCCTCAACCAAATGTTATGAAACTTATACACAATGCTTATTACTACATAATACAGATTACGTATGAAATTTGGTGGCGACCCTTCTACCATTCTTGAGTTATGTCCCTTTATAAACATGAAAATTACTGAATTTTTCGTTTCCGTTCTCTAACTTTAGTTTGTCTCAACCAAATGTTATAAAACTTATACACAACCGTTCTAGAGTTATGCGTATTTACAAATAGAAAAATTGCTGAAATTTTAGTTTCTGTTCTCTACTTAAGTTATCCTCAACCAAATGTTATGAGACTTACACACAATGCTCATTACCTCAAAACACAGATCAAGTTCAAATTTGGGTAGCGTCACTTTTACCGTTCTTCAGTTATGTCCCTTTATAACTATATGATATGCAAGCGGGGGCATCATCTGTGTCCACATGTGGACACTATCCACATTTATGTTTCCTATTTTGTGCACAGCTATATGTATTTAGACCCCTCTACCAAGAAATTTGTTTTGCATGCACACGTATAAAAATTGCGGTTTTTATCCAACGCAATCATAGGTTTGAACGTTGTTTTCAATTTAGACTTATATATATATATATATATATATACAAGTTTAAATTGAAAACAACCGCAATTTTTATACGTGTGCATGCAAAACAAATTTCTTGGTAGAGGGGTCTAAATACAGCACAAACAACATTTTCCAAAAGACCAAATGAGTGAAAAAGTATATTTTAACAAAACGCATTTGACTAGCAGGTCGAACAACTGATGTCCTTAAACCCTGCGGACTGCCATTGACGATTGCCAAATAAACAGATCATATATATATATATATACATTTTGATTATGATCATCATCAGGAATCCCTTGCCATATGTTTTCCTTTTTGTTATTTTGATAATTGATTTGAATTTGATATACATGTACGCATGGGGGTACAAGGAACATTATCCCCATATATACGTAAAATTCAAATTCGAACAATTCTTAATATCACAAAAACATATGGCTAGGGACACCTGATGAGGATAGGCCTAGGTCCATACTACCTTAACAGAAACACCTTTTATATATGTTGTGTACAATTTTGATTTTGTACAAATTTGTACCAAAAAAATGTACAAATTATAATTTGCATTTTGACTTTGTACAAATTGTAGTAATTTGTACAAAAAATCCATGTACAAATTACAAATTCACTTAAAACTTGTACAATAATTTCTAGAATGGATGTTGATTTTTTTTCTGAACAAAATTGCTAGTTTCTGTTTTTGTTCAAGGAATATTTAAAAATCAAGGGCATTTTATAGATCAATTTTTGTCGTTTCGTTTTTAATTTTTCAAGACACCTTATATTAATTTGATATTTAGAACATTTTTCTGAAAAGCAATTTTCTCGTATGGATTTTGTTATTAAAAAAAACATTGATGCACACTACAGAATTTTTATTCAATGACCACATAATAAACCTTATTTATGAAATTCAAAAAATACCCAATTGGAGGCAGGAAATGTAATTGATACATGCATACAGTTAATTATGAAAATATAATAGAAATTGGCTCAAGTGACTATTCTGATAGCATAATAGAAATTAGCCCGAGTGACAATTTGGATGACACCAAGTGAAACAACAATCGTGCATCTTATGTGAAGTTATTGAATATGGAGAATTTTGGTACCGCATTGGAACAGCTGTTAAATTTTTAAAAGGACATTTGTGGAGAAATTAAATTGAAGCTGTTAAAGACACATCTTTTTTTGCAGCAACGGTTTCTGAGCTTCAACTTTCACTATGTGAAGCAGTTAAAAAGCTTTTAAAAAGATGTTGTGTAATTCCCAATGGCAATATTTCACTCACATGCTCAAACAAATGATACATAACTATTTTTGTATTTTGTAAATTAGTATAAAAGGAGATGTGGTATGATTGCCAATGAGACAACTTTCCAAAAGAGACAAAAAGACACAGGTATTAACAACTATATCTCATCATACCGGCTTCGACTATGAGCAAACCAATACCGCATAGTCAGATATCAAAGGCCTTGAAATGACAAATGTAAAACAACGAGAAAACTAACAGACTAATTTATCTACAAAATAATGAACGAAAAACTTAGCAACAAACTACAACCACTGAATTACATGCTCCTGACTTGGGACAGGCACATAAAAATGTGGTGGGGTTCAACATGTAAGTTGGCGCCCAACTCTCCCCTCAACTTTGACAGTTGTGCAACAGTACAACATAAGGTTTATTATGTGGTCATTGAATAAAAATTCTATACGGTGTACATGTACCAATGGTTCTTTATATAACAAAATCCATACGATAAGTTATTGTAAAAGTTATAAGTGAATTTTGTACAAAAAAATGTGTACAAAGTCAAAATACAAATTGAAATTTGTAAAAAAAATGTATACAAAGTCAAAATACAAACTATAATGTGTACGTATTTTTTGTACAAATTATAATATGTACAAAACTATACCTCTAAAAACATGTTCACAGACAATGGAATTTATAACAAAGAATAATAATAATATATACTGGAATGGTCCTGGACCCGACTGATTTTAATATGTTAATGTGATGTATGTTACTGGAATCCTTCTGCAAATACGTGACCTCCATATCACCAGTGGAAAGACTCCAATAGATATAAGAAGATGTGGTATGAGTACCAATGAGACAACTCTCCATCCCAGTCACAATGTTCAATTTTCTTCAATTTCTACTTAAGTTTGGCTGTCAAAATGCTAACATTCCAATTTTTAATAACAGTTAACAGCA